TTTAATACAAATTTTTTTAGATAAAAAAGTTTTTGCATTAAAAAAATTATTTTAGAAAATAACAGATTTCGTCCAAAATAAATGATGAATGTTGATTTATCAAGAAGACCACCCAACATTTGATGTAAATAAAAATTTGAGACTGTAATTAATTACTTATCACTGTATTATTTCAATTGTTGCATTATTGTTTTGATAGTACTTATTATTTCCTTCTCCTCAATTAAAAATATAAATTTAATGAATAAAAGGTTGAATAAACAAAATATTTTTTAAATTGTGGAAGGACACGTGGTATGTGCATAGTGCATACTCAATCATTTTATTTGAATGAAATTTGACTTCTTTCATTATATAATTTTTTATGAAAAAAAATTGTTGAAATATTTAAGGTTGAATTTTTAAAATATATTTAATTTTACGTATTATATATTATTAATGAATATAATTAAATTATTATGTAATTCATCAAATATAATTAAACTATTAAATTATTTGATTTATTATTAATAAATCATTGAAAATTATTTTGCTTGAGCACAAATTTCAATACATATTTAGATTGAAAACTTTTGAAATTAGATTCAAGATTTTCTGAACTTTAATTTTAACAAACTTATGATTAAACTAAATGTATCGACAAGACAAATCAAACGATACTAAAAGTGGTACAATTTGAATCTGAAAGAGCCCCAAATCAATCAATTGAAACATATTTGAAAGCACGTTACCAATTTACGAGAAATAATATTATTTGTATTCGATAAGAAATACTAGCTAAATCATTTAAACAAGGTTAGACCCTATGATATTTTCCTTTCACGTAAAACTCTAGCTTCTCTTACAATTATTGCATTCTTCTCTTATTATGTGTGCTGAATTTTTATGTAAAGCTAATAAGAAAGACATTAAACTTTAAATTTCTCTAGGGTAACAAATATTTTGGCATTTCATTTTAATTCATTTTTTAGGTAAATCGTTCTCGTCCAATTTGAATGATAAAGTTTTACACCGCTCAATTTCAATACATATTCATTGTTCTTCACAGAGGGATATTTTTCATTATTGTCAAACAATACCGAGCAATACCCAACAATACCGAGCAATATATAGAGTAATACCGAGCAATACGCGAACATAACAATCCCGGGTCAAGTCGTCGGGCCGCGCGGTATTGAGTAAGACCACGTGGCGACATGTTATTGTTGTCCGAACATAGAGCTACGTCAGGTCATCTGACCTAATAATTGTTCCCGCTTACCGTCGTCACCGCCTCGCACCCTGCAGCCATGCTGCTGGCAATCACAACCCAGAATAGTTGCCCGCTATTTGCTGCCACCATAGTCAAATGACGTCGCCACTGTCACCCTCAGCACCATTGTCGGCCGCCACAACTGTAGCCATCACCATCGCCCACTACGGCCAACTCAGGCACAACCTTTTTACACTTTATATTGCATTCAATTTACACAATATTTTTTTAGGCAGTCAAACAACCGCTAAATCAATCAATGACAAAATTAAATCAAATTCAAATAATCAATTTACAAAAAATCAAAGTTGTCAAAATCATTGCTATTATATTTTTAACTAAAAATATTCCGTGTGATTTCACTTTTTATGATATTGAATTTTATTTATGTTTTGGATCAATTTGAACCACATGAATTTAGATTCAAATTATGATTAATCAGAACCAAATCATGCACTGGGTAGACCACATACACGACTGCTGGTCTGCGGCGCTGCGCGAGTCGTTGTTCGGGTCAACCCAAACCTGAAATTTTCGGGTCGGGTCAAATATTGACACCCCTACCCTCATTCTTCACAGGGGGGATGGAGGATCTCTCTTGCTTTCTCCAGTTTGCACCGTCAACCGGATCTCTTCCCGACCACCGACCGTCGTTGGACTCCGTTCATTAACCGTCATTGCCAAATTCTAATCACTGACCGTCGTCTGACTTCCGGCTATTTTTTGGTTGATATTGGATCTTTTCCCAACAATCAAACATTTCCGTACATCTTCTCAACAACTTATTAATACTAAGTCTCCCGCCATGGTCAGACATTGATGGAACATTCTTTGTTATTCATAGGACCAATTTTCTAAAATTTGGAAATATCTTCAATATATTTTCTTCTCCTTGACCTTAAATTAAGAGATGAACTGACGTCGGCCAACTATAATCCTTTCGACCTCCGTCGTCTGCCAACTACAACCACTTTGACCATCGCCCCACTACGATCCTTTCTTAAGACTACCACCTCACATTGTGACTCAAAATTCTTAAGTTATTTTTGAAAACCCTTGTAGAAAAAATTAATTACCAAGCTTCAATTCAGCTCCACCACCCACCCTTAAACTGCCGGACAGACAAAAACGGTTAATCGAAGCCTTATTAATCTAATGCGGTGTTATTTCGAGAAGTACATACGAATCAGTCCACCAATCAAAGTCCTCAAATTGTGCATGGCAATAACCCATTGAGTCCCTTAGATCTGCTTCCACAAGTCTCTGAGTCCTCTTATAGACTAGATGGAGACCGGCAAAGTCGAGAAATCATGGAGATCCATCAACCTGTCTTAGACAAGAAATTATTCTGTGCGAAACGTACGTAGAATGTAGTCGGAGACCAATCAGTCGGAGAGCAATCAGAATGCGTCACACCAACAATATAGAGCCGCGGTAACGAGCAGTACTGAGCCGCATTACCGAACAAGAGGCGACGTGGTGATTCTGATTGGTCTCCGGACGTTGTTTGGCATCCGCAAAAAATAACAAATAGTCTGAGACATGATATAAAAACATAATGAAATAAAAAAAGAAAGACAATAAACTCGTTGTACATAGGTCGATCAGAACAGCCCTTGGGAACATGGGGATAGATAAACTCGTTAGGCATGGGGCATCCGCGTTGAAGCATGAGAGCAAAGAGACGGAAGGCTGGTGTTGGGTTGGGGTGAGTATGGCAGTGTATAGGTAAACGTTGGGAGCAAGAAGGATGTCAAAGAGAAGCACAAGGGAGGAGGACGGATTGTGGGTGAGTGAGTGAAATGCCGACGCAGGTCGTGTGGAGGAATGACGGTCGAAGTATGGGGCTGGTTTTCCCTTTCAGAGGAGACATAGAGGAAGTCTTGGTTAGAGTAGCGGAGCATCTGTTGTTGCAAAGGAGGTGGCAGCGGGATGTGCGAAAGTTGATATGAGGCAGAGGAGCTTGCGGATAGTGGGATTGGAGTGGATGCCTGCTTTTGCGAGTGCCATTGACGCCGTCGCGGTCGTTTGCATGTACTGTACAAGCAATGGCATCAGCTCATATAGATGGTACAAGTCGACGTGAGCTTGTTCACGGACGGCAGATCGTGCCGATAGATAACCGATGGTTTGGTTGCTAGAAGATGGAATCGCTGGTATGGTTGCCAACGGGGATGTGTAGATTCGCCGGTATGATTGCCGTCTGATGGAGGCTTCGAATGTCGTCGCCAGCCTAGCTTCATACATGGTATTCCTAAAGCAACCTAAACCCCGATTGACATCAAGGGTTGATGTAGCAGTAGCCTGGTGCCCTGATCGACGTCAAGGGCAAAACCTCGCTCTAATATCATTATGATGTAGGAAGAAACATGAAGAAGCAAGATGAAGAAGAGCTAAACAGCTATTGGAGACCCAAAACAGCCAAAAGTGTTATAATTCTAAAAATATTCATTCATGCTTCTTCGCTCTTACAACTCATATACTTATAGGCTAGCAAAATAAACCAAGAGAAATCAAGAACATTCTAGAATCATTGTAATAAATTAAATAACATATCCCTAAGAAGTATTTAAACTTATGAGTTGTTAAACTTGCGCCATAATTAATAGCTTTTGTATAATAGATTTTTTGCGGTATGGCTATAATTAGGTATGCTTCTAGTCGAATAGCCTTATATGTAGCTATATATATTTACACAAATACAGCTAACATTGCTATGGAGGAATTATTGAAGATAATGTGTTCTTTTTAGCCTCCGTTTTGGTGTTCTGTCTCCAGATTGTTTTCAGGTGGCGACGGAGAAGAATCAGGTTCTTGGGGGAGCTGATCGATCCGTGGGCCACCCTTTGGCGATCATCCTAGTCGTCCTTCCGCTTCTCCGATGTCGTCCGTTAGGAAAATTATTCTGTGCTGACACCGGACATAATATGGAGAATAATCAGAATGTGTCACATCATTTTTTTCTAGGTACCGATATCATTGTGTACTGGGTGATGTGGCACGTTCTGGTTGATCTCCGGACTATACGATGTCCGCACAGAATAGACCTTTGTTGATTCTTGTAGAATCTAGAATAGGTTTTTAGACCTAAAATAATGTTTCAAGGCTAACCAAGATTGGGATGAATTGATAATTTAAAATTTTACTCTTTGATTAATAATTTGAAACCGATAAATGATTTGTAGCAAGTATAATTTTAAAGTTTTTCAAAATTAATTTTCAACCACGAAAAATTAAAACTTGCAGTAAATTTTTATGCCGTGACGAGCTGCGCAGGCAGCGATCACGTGCGATGGACTCAAATGCAGGTCCGCGATGACCGCGACAACGACTCTTAGAACATTTTCTCATCCTATTGCAAGACATGCAACTTACTAATATATTTTAGAGAACTCTAACAATGATTAACTTTTATGCCATTGCAAGTGGAGATGAGTAATCTTCCAAGATAATATAACTATTTCATGTGTTTTATAAGAGTTTGTATGTAACTTATGTTATTTAATGGATAAGGGTTGAATTTAGAGCACATGCTTATAATATTTTGATCATGTAAGACTTTTTTTAATTATTGTGCATCAATCACTAGATGCTTTTTACTAATGTCAAATTAATTATATTATATTCAAGTAAATCATTGTTTTATCTTAATCAATTTTTTTTTAATATCTCTTAATCCATATTATAGTTTGTTATTTTTAATATGAATTTAATAACTTCTCTGGTTTTGAGTTAGAACTTATATTAATTAATATAATTGATATTTTTTAAGGCTTTTCAAAGAGAATGATATATTTTGTCTACACGGATTAATTTTTATTATATTAATTTTTTCCTTAACATGTTGTCTGTCCTATTAATCTCTTCATCTTCTTCTCCATTTACCTCTTCAAATCCTTGACAAAAGTGCTCCTTATTCATGGGGATAAACTGGTTTACGAGATTTAAGAGGCTTCATGAGTTCTCATTTTCGGTCTCGTGAATGCTATGATTTTTTTTTTTTCTCTAGAAGTCATTGCTAGAAACATGGGCGGACCCCCCCCCCCCCCCCCCCCCCCCCAAAAAAAAAAAAAAAAAAAAAAAAAAAAAAAAAATTTTTTTTTTTTTTAGATGGATTGTTTGGAATATTTTGGGTATTTTTGGTATTTTGCCCCTCTCAAAAAAAATTTTTGCCCTCATTTTATAAATCATAAGCATCTTTGCCCATCCCCCACAAAAAAAAATTATTTTGCCCACCCTGAAAAAAGAAGCTGGATCCGCCCCTGGCTAGAAATCAACTCTATAAGTTATAGTTTTAAATTCAACTTTTAATTTAATTGTTCATATTTAATATAATTTGAGTTTTGTAGATTCTTTTATGCAATTTTGCAATTTAATTAATTTCTATTTCATTTTTTATGGTTGAGTTATTCTATTTTCTTCATCCTGAGGCCCAGTGCATTCGGGTGATGTGGTGTGTCTGGATTCACCTTCAGATGATCCGATCACTGCACGTTATAATATCTGCTTCGATGACAACCAGCTTTTTATTATTAATCATATGGTTCACTTCTGGAAAGAATGCCATATAGATTGATCAAATTACACTTTATAGAAAGATTTTTAAGCAGCTCTTGTATGGAAAACTGATGTAGTGGATCGTCGTAAGACTCGACCTGCAAGAAGGATTTTTGGCTCCCAATCCAGTGAAGAAGAGAAACAAAGCTTCAAAGCTTAAAATGACTTAATATTCTTCAATGCCTTTTTCATACTACAAAACTTGCTTACATAAGCTAAATAGAATACTCTAGAAGATACTTGAAGAAGCACATAACAAACTAATTAAAATATGCCTAAGGAGCGATTTAGTTAAGATGCTCTGCATCAAATACTACATATTATTCCTGAATCTAACAAGTGGAATCATTTACTACCTACCTTGTGGGGCTTGTCTATGATGCTTTGATTTGATTTTTTTTTTTAATGGTATTAGCTTATAATAAACTAATCAGCAAATAGAGCCACCGTACCCACGTGTAGTTTGCATGACCACCGGCTTTAATAAAAATAAAAATAAAAGTGACAACGCATGGACCGAGGTAGAGAACAAAACTATTTCAACATGTCAAAATTAGTAGAAATTATAAGCCTATAAAGTTCTGACATGGGATATCGGGCAGAGATAATCATTCGGATTTTTCTCTATTTATAATAAAAAATATAGTCAAATCTTAGTTACTATAACAACTACGCTTTGAGGATGCTTTGACTGTAATTTTATTGTAGACATAAAAAAATCCGATTGATTCTATTTTTCCAATATCCGCGTCTAATAATTAGGCATGGTCAGTCAAAAAGCAGCCACGGTAGTCTGAATGACCGACTCCAAACATTCAACTCTGGTTGCCAAGGAAGTCGTCACATGCTGCCAAAAACCAGCTGGAGAAATAATTGCTCATTGTTCAGATCGTGCAAAATTCCATTGGTCATAAGTTATTATAATTATTTAACTTCTTTTCATGCTAACAAATTATAATTTCATCTTTTATATCAAAAGATAATGTGATAATAAATTTCAAATGAGTATTATTAATAATTAATTTCATTTTATTTAGACTCATTCTTTAAAAAAAAAAGGTGATTTATGCATTCACTTTATTAAAAATTATTATCAGCTCAGTTTATATATATATATATATATATATATATATAATCATGAAAAAAATAACATGATAAAATATAAATTTAGAATATTATTGAGAGGATGAGTGACGCCGGACGAAGGAGGTGTCGCGGTTTTAGGAAAGAACGTGAGATGGATAGGAAATGAGCTGCAAAAATTACAACTCAAAACAATATCAAGAACATGCTTCTTTGAAGGATAACACCACCAGATCTATTCAAGATACATTATACAAAAACAGAGCAAACGAAATAACTCTTATTATCTTCAAAAATCTATGCTCCATTATAATTAATAGTTGTTTATATATACAACTATTGACTACTTACAATACTACAAACTCAATACAAAAACTTAACCACCTCTTAAAACCATACTAATTACGAGAGGTCATAATTTGACTGTTGTTTCTTCCGGATGTCTCTTTTAGGTGATCATGTTGCTCTTTCGTCTTCCTTGCTTATCTTTCTTTTCTTTTATTCGATTTTGTAATAGAACAAATCAAAGACTCGTTGGACATGCCTTGATGCAATGCAATGATATCATCCAACATCACTAATCTGTTCTAGAACAAAGTTATATATTATCTGGGTCCTGAAAGATGGGAGTTATTTATCTCACTAGAAATAGCTATGTAAATATGATCATTAGCATTCAGTGTAGCAGAGGTGAAGAAGTTATAGTCAAGATCAGTCTCCATGCTCAAGTTTCCCTCTAAAACCTTAACCACCGTTGACATAGATGGCCTTTTACAGCTGTTAGTCTGCAAACACCACATTGCAAGCCTCATCATCTCAACGGCTTTTTCTCCAAGCATCTGCATATCAATTTCGTTTCTATCAACCATGTCTAAGAGCCGATCAATCTTCACTTTCTCCTGCAAAAGAGAAATCAAGCGTGCGCCATCTTCAGGCTGAGAGTGTTCGAAATTCTTCCTTCCACACACAATTTCCATGACCACAATTCCGAAGCTGAACACATATACTTTTTCGGTGATTGTAGATGTCAACCATTCAGGAGCTAAATACCCAATCGTTCCTCTCATTCTTGTATTTAATTCACGTTGATCACGATCAATCAGCTTTGCAAGGCCAAAATCCGCAACCTTTGCGTTAAAATTTTTATCGATAAGGATGTTATGAGGCTTGATGTCTAAATGAGCAATTCTCTGCCTGCAGTCTTCGTGGAGATATGAGAGGCCCTTTGCTATGTCAACGATGATCTTCACTTTTGTTTGCCAATCAAGAGCTGTGTCAGGAGTTCTGCCAAAGATCCATTTGTCTAGAGACCCATTTTCCATGAACTCGAAAACAAGAAGTCTATGTGATTTTTCTGCACAAAATCCAATTAGCCTCACAACGTTGATGTGATGAAGGTTGCCAATTGCTTCCACTTCTGCCAAGAATTCTTTCCTCCCCTGTCCAATAATACCATCTTCCAGCCTCTTTACAGCAATTTTAGTATCGTCGGCAAGCTTCCCCTCGAACACAAACCCAAATCCTCCTTGTCCAAGCTTATGGCCAAAGTTTTCGGTTGCAATTTTCAATTCCTTGAAAGAAAATCTATTGGGCAACCTTGGTAAGTTTAAAATATCATCTTGCTCTTCGCTCCTTTTTTTCTTTTTATAGGCTCTGTAGCAAAAAACAAGCAAAAAAGCAAAAAAAACCAGAAGAACTAAAAAAATAGGGCCGGCTATCAGAGAAACCCCAATGATCGTGGCGAGGACGATGATTGTGATGATGAAGAGGAGGTAGAAGAAGCGCTTTGATGTCATCTCGAAAATCGAAATCCTCAGATATTCTGTTGAGGAGCATGCTAGGCTATGTTTCCTTACCTAGTTATGGAAGGAACTTATATATGCAAGGAAATAAACAAGAGAAAAGTTCAAAGTTCTTTTTATATTTTTTATTTTGGGAAAAGTAAGGCTGAAGCCAACAAATTAATTTGAAAAATATTTAGTTTTGTCCACATGCATGGCTCTCTGGTTCTAATCATCCTCTCTCATGACGATTTTATGAAGTAAACAAATTTTCAAAATTAATATACTATTTTGATATACAAATTTACTGAAAAGTAATATATATATATATATATATATATACAAAAAATTAAATTAATTAAGCACAAATCTCAATGCACATATGAATAAAAAACTTCCAAAATTAAATGTGATCATATGAACTCCGATTGCAACAAACTTATAATCATACTGAAGATCTCGAAGAGAAGAACCCAATAACATCAAAAAATCGGACCAATTCGAACCCAAATGAGTCAAATTGAGGGACTTTATATTGATCGTCCATTGAAACATTCTCAACATGTCATTGATCTTCTTCATATTTACTAGTAATGTTATTCCAAAAAAAACTATAAATATGCCCCTCATTGGCGAGCTACTGCTAGGGCCTTGTGGAGTTTGAGGCTGCTGGGATTTTTGCATCACCAGTGTTGTCCTCTGGTCGTCGTGCTGCTCTTTAAAGTGACGCCTGTTGGAGTGGCTCCGAGATTGTTGTGAGGACTGCATTTCTGCCTTCAAAGCGAAGTTGACAGCCAGTGAAATCGACCATATATCATTCAATTCTAATTTGTCTTGCAGATTATCCTTTAGTCCCCCAATTTATCAGGCTACCAACTGGTTCTCGGATTCTTTCAAATTGTTTCTCGCACTTTGGCAATAGAATTCCTCGGTATAATCAGTAACACTGCGATTCCTCTAAACGCATGTTGATACTGAATGTAAAGCATCTGCTCATAGTTTGAGGGGAGGTAGTGACCCCGTAATAATTGCTTCATTCGGAACCAATTGCAGACGATACCCTTTTCCTTACATCGCCGAGTCTGCAACACCTGCTGCCACCAAGCACTGGCTCCCCCTTTCAATTGGCATGCCACATATTTCACTTGCTTCTCGACGGGGATTTCCAGATACTCGAAGAATATTTCCACTGCCCTCTCCCAATTGATGTAGTATTTGATATGCAATCGACCGTCGAAGAATGGAATGTCGAGTTTGACACGAAACTCGCCATTGCCTCTATTGTTCCGCTCAGCCAGCGGACGATACTGAATGCGAGATGCATTTTCACCTTCTTCCGAATCTGAATACTCAAATGGACGTAGCTGGTCTGCCTCTCCCTCTGATTCCACATAATCGGGAATGTGGACGGTTTGTCTCCGTCCCGGACCCAGGCTAGCGACAATCCCACGGTCAGGAAGAACCGGGGCTGGTGGTCATCGGCGAAGTGCTGGGTTTCCTTCTCCCCCATGATGAGTTGCTTGAATTTCTTGGAGGGTCTCCATTCGTAAGAGAGCAAAACTTGCGGATAGTTCTTCCAGCTGCCTTACCACACAGTTGTGTTAGGCCCACAAGGCCTCGATACTCTGATCATCGCCAAGAGTTGTCCGAAGGGTTCCGTCTGTCATCGATCGCGTAGCCAGGAAGGGAAGCTCTGATACCAACTTGGTGTAAAACATGTACCAACAATACCCAAATTCCTGCAAGCAAAAATAATGAGCAACACAGAGGAAGAAAGGCAGGAACAAGAACAAAGCTGAGAGCTAAAAATTGGATATATTTTCTACTATCTTCTCTAAACTTGCATCTATGTATAAGTAAAGGTCTCTCTTCCTTTGTATCTATATTTGTCTATTGCACTATTTATATAACAACCCAAGATCCGTGTAGCGAAATGATTCATCTAATCGTTCTATTGCCTCTTTTTTTGATCTCATCATCATCCCGGCCGATCCTGGGGAAAAATCACTTTTCCCAGCAGCTATAGCAAAGGAACGAGGTCTCACAATTTAGGTGATAATTAATGGCTTAGCTAAAAGGAGTAAAAGCTAGCTAAAGCAGTGGAGATTAAAATAAAAATGGGTGGTGCAAAGCTAGACTAGGTAAGGTGGGTTGGCTCGTGTGATGCACCGCATCAACTTCTCCTCTATTTTCTTCTCCCCTTGTCATTTTCTATACAAATATAAATGTTGATACATTTCCACTTGGTCTTGATCTAGGTCGATTTGAGTCAATTTGTGCTCAATTTAATTTTGACTCAAGTCTGACTTAGACTTGTTATTTAGCTCGTCGACTTTCATTGAGCCAAAACTTTATTTGAATTTTCAGCAATCTTTGATCTTTGAGCAAAACTTAAAGCTATATTCTTTATATATGTATGTTGGATTGTATGGATATGACCTCAACTGAGCTGGAAGATGATTGGGTTGTATGTTTCCAATGCAAGTGAGGGCTCATATCCCTCTCCCGCTAACATGTACTTGATGAATAGCTGCAATTTGCATAGATGAAACTGCCTCTCTGATGACGGAAAATTATTATGTGCGGTGTCTGGATTTGTTCTGAGGCGAATTCGTACCCGCCATATCACCCGGGGCCCTGTGCATCTGGGTGACGTGGTGCGTCCGAATTTGCCTCCAGACGGTCCGGTCACCGCACGTAATAATCTCTCCTAATAACGAAAAATTATTATGTGCGTCATCTGGATTCGTTCGGAGGCGATCCGGACGCGCCATGTCACATGGGGCCTGATACATCTGTGTGACTTGGTGTGTCCGGATCCACCTTCGGACGGTTCAGTCACCATACATAATAATCTCTCATGATGACGGAAAATTACTATGTGCGGCGTCCGAATTCGTTCGGAGGTGAATTCGAACGTGCCACATCACCCGGGGCCCAGTGCATCCGGGTGACCTGGTGCGTCTGGATTCATTTCCGGACGGTTTGGTCACCGCACGTATTAATCTTTCCTGATTAAGAAATATTTTTACGTGCGGGATCCGGATTCATTCAGAGGTGAATCCAGGTGCGCCACATTACCTGGGACTCGATACATCTGGGTGATGTGGTGCGTCTGGATTCACCTCTAGACTATCCGATCACCGCACATTATAATCTCTCCTTTGTTGACAATCAGCTTTTTATTATTGATCATATGGTTCACTTATAGCATTAATATCATATAGATTGATCAAATTACACTTGATAGAAAGATGTTTAAGCAGCTCTTGTATGGAAAACTACATATTATTCCTGAATCTAACAAGTGGAATCATTTACTATTTACCTTGTGGGGCTTGTCTATGATGCTTTGCTTTTAATTTTTTTTTTTTATGATATTAGCTTATAATAAACTAATCAACAAATAGAGCCATTGTACCCACGTGCAGTTTGCATGACCACAGGCTTTAATAAAAATAAAAGTAAAAGTGACAACGCATGGACCCAGGTAGAGAACAAAAGTATTTCAACATGTCAAAATTAGTAGAAATTATTAGATTCGGACATCGGGTAGAGAGAATCATTCGAAGAGATGGTCTATATGAAGCAACCTCCTGGCTTCATAGACAAGCAATATCCAACTCATGCATGTCTATTAAAAAAAGCTATCTATGGTCTCAAGCAAGCGCCACGACAATGATTTTCCACATTCTCCTTGTTTCTTTTGTATGAGTTTCAGTCTAGCACTACCAATCCCTCATTTTTATTGCTACATAAAGTGTTTGTTCAAATCTACATTTTGGTATATGTAGATGACATTTTACTTACAGAAAACTCCTCACTTGAGTTGGATAAACTACTGCTTGCTTTACAATCTAGATTTTCTATGAGGGATCTCGATAGACTACATCATTTTCTTGGCTTGCAAGTAACTTAAACCTCGGATGGCCTTCACTTAGCTCAATCAACATATGCCAATGAGATTCTGCCTAAGGCGGCGATAACAGATTGTAAGCCTGTACTCAAACCTCTCAGTTCCAAATTTGCAACGGCTTCTTCATCCGAAATTCCTTATGATCGTCCAGATCATTACATGCAAATAACTGGAGTGCTTCAATACTTGACGATTAACCGACCAGATATTTCATATGCGGTAACTATCTTTGTCAACATATGCATAGCCCTCTCATAGAACATTATCAGCTTCTCAAACGAGTTCTGCGTTATATCAAATGTACCATTTCTCTTGGTTTACCTATCATCAAATCCTCTCTTGTGCTAAAAGGCTTCGCAGATTCAGACTAGGCCACTGATCCAGTTAATCGTCGCTTGATAACGAAATATTATGCATTTCTTGGTTCAACACTCATCTTGTGGACTGTTAAGAAGCAGTCATCTGTTGCTAGATCCTCCACAGAAGCTGAGTACAAAGCTATTTCTACTGCTGCTTGTGACATCATTTGGCTTCGCAGATTATTATATGAATTTCAAATTCAGCTACCTGAACCCACTAAATTGTATTGTGATAATGTTTCAGCTCTTGCACAAGCTAATAATCCTATTTTTCATGCAAGAACTAAACATATCGAAATAGATTTCCATTTCATTCGTGATTGCATTCGATCACAATATATCACGGTACATCATATCTGCTCCCAGGATCAACCAACTAACATCTTCACAAAAGCCTTAAATGCAACTTGACACTCTTATCTTACTGACAAGTTAACAATGCAAATACCAATTGTTACCTTAAGGGAGGCTGATAAGGAGACTTGATAAGTCGGTGTCACTACCCATTTGCTGCTCCACTTCCTCTATTTATTCCATGTATCTGGCTTATTATTACCGTTTGATTTCTGCTCTTAATCAGAGCCGTTGGTCTTTAGCTCACTAGCTCATTATATACTCTCTGTAATGCTTGAGAAAGAGTAGTGAAGATGAACTATATTCTACCACACTGTTCTCCTTCTTCCTTGTTGTATGCTTCTGTTTTCCTCTATTTTACAGCTATACAGGTTGTTGATCTCAGCAGCTTCAACAGTGATGAGTTTAGGCTTTAAGTATATTTTATTGAGTGATCACATTTTATTAATTATCTTATTTGTTAAAATATAATAGTGTCATATTTACATGCCATAATTCATTTTTCTAATAACATCCATACTATTATTATAAAAGGACCTTGTGATTCTCCTCATATAAAATATTAGCAATTCATTTTATTCTTCTAAGATTAAATCTTAAACTTTTATTTATACCACTTCTAATATTATATATGAGTGTAAAATTATCAAAATTAAATCCCCAACATCAACACATCTCTTCTTCTCTCATGTTGCTTGATTTCTAAATGAATTTGTAATGTCACTCTTAGAAATCCTAACCACATCCTAACTCAAATTCCATCTTGATTTCAATCACAAAATTCTCTTCTCCCTAACATGTTGTCTGTCCTATTAATCTCTTCATCTTCTTCCCCATTTACCTCTTCAAATACTTGACAAAAGTGCTCCTTATTCATGGGGATAAACTGGTTTACGAGATTTAAGAGGCTTCATGAGTTCTCATAAGAACTTCTTTTCTCATTTTCGGTCTCGTGGATGCTATGATTCTTTTTTTTTTTCTCTAGAAGTCATTGCTAGAAATTAAATCTATAACTTATAGTTTTAAATTCAACTTTTAATTTAATTGTTTATATTTAACATAATTTGAGTTTTGTAGTTTCTTTTATGCAATTTTGTAATTTAATTAATTTCTATTTCATTTTTTATGGTTGAGTTATTCTATTTTCTTCATTTCGAGGCCCGGTGCATCCGGATAATATGATGCGTATGAATTCACCTCCAGACAATCCGATCTCCGCATGGTTCACTTCTGGCATGAATACCATATAGATTGATCAAATTACATTTGATAGAAAGATGTTTAAGCAGCTATTGTATGGAAAACAGCCACGGTAGGTCATTCGATATCCGCGTCTAATAATTAGGAATGGTTAGTCAAAAAGCAGCCACGGTAGTCCGAACTCCAAACATTCAACTCTGGTTGGCAAGGAAGTCGTCACATGCTGCCAAAAACCAGCTGGAGAAATAATTGCTCATTGTTCAGAGCATGCAAAATTCCATTGGTCATAAGTTATTATAATTATTTAACTTCTTTTCATGCTAACAAATAATAATTTCATCTTTTATATCAAAAGATAATGTGATAATAAATTTCAAATGAGTATTATTAATAATTAATTTCATTTTACTTACACTCATTCTTTATAAAAAAAAGTGATTTATGCGTTCACTTTATTAAAAATTATTATCAGCTCAGTTTATATATATATATATATATATATATATATATATATATTCATGAAAAAAATAACATGATAAAATATAAATTTCAGGAGCTAAATACCCAATCGTTCCTCTCATTCTTGTATTTAATTCACGTTGATCACGATCAATCAGCTTTGCAAGGCCGAAATCCGCAACCTTTGCGTTGAAATTTTTATCGATAAGGATGTTCTGAGGCTTGATGTCTAAATGAGCAATTCTTTGCCTACACTCTTCGTGGAGATATGAGAGGCCCTTTGCTATGTCAATGATGATCTTCACTTTTGTTTGCCAATCAAGAACTGTGTCAGGAGTTCTGCCAAAGATCCATTTTTCTAAAGACCCATTTTCCATGAACTCGAAAACAAGAAGTCTATGTGATTTTTCTGCACAAAATCCAATTAGCCTCACAACGTTGATGTGATGAAGGTTGCCAATTGTTTCCACTTCTGCCAAGAATTCTTTCCTCCCCTGTCCAATAATACCATCTTCCAGCCTCTTTACAGCAACCTTTGTATCGTCGGCAAGCTTCCCCTCGAACACAGACCCAAATCCTCCTTGTCCAAGCTTATGGCCAAAGTTTTCGGTTGCAATTTTCAATTCCTTGAAAGAAAATCTATTGGGCAACCTTGGTAAATTTAAAATATCATCTTGCTCTTCGCTCCTTTTTTTCTTTTTATAGGCTCTGTAGCAAAAAAACAATCCAAGAACAAAAACAAAAACAAAAACAACTAAATAAATAGGGTTGTCTATCAGTAAAACCCCAATGACCGCGGCGAGGGAGAAGATTATGATAAAGAAGAGGAAGAAGCGCTTTGCCGTCATCTCTAAATCCTCAGACATTCTGTTGTGGAAATAAACAAGAGAAAAGTTTTGCTATGTTTCCTTACCCAGTTATGGAAGGAACTTATATATGCAAGGAAATATACAAGAGAAAAGTTCAAAGTTTTTTTTTTTTTAATTTTTTTATTTTGGGAAAAGAAAGGCTGAAGCCAACAAATTAATTTGAAAAATATTTAGTTTTTGTCCACATGCATATATCTCTGGTTCTAATCATCCTCTCTCATGACGATTTTCATATAATGAAAAATGGTGATGTCCTTTTGCAGTTCTTTATCTATTTGTCGTTCCTTTGCATGTTCATTGTGAATGCTTTGGTAGGCCCTTCCACATTAAAGTTAGATGTTTTTATTAACAATTGGTATAAAAACCTGATATTGAATTCAATCACCATTGAGGTTTCATTTGGGACGGTTTTTTTATTGTTTTCTAAAACGGAGTTTTAATACAAAATTTTTTATTTTTGTATTAAAACTCCGTTTTAGAAAGCAATAAAAAAACCGTTCCAAACGAAGCCTAAGTATGACATAGGGAAATCTGATTTGCCAAAGTGTTTTACGAGCCATGTTAATTCAATAAGGATTTTTGTAGACACTCATGTGACATTTTAGACTTCATTGGGACAACTTCTTATTGCTTTATAAAATCATTTTTTAATAAAAAAAAATTTAACTAATAATTTTCATAGTAAATAGTTGTTTTAGAAAGTAGTAAAAAAGCTGCCCCAAATGAAGGCTTAGCCTATGATTTTATGAATTAAGAAGATAAAATAGAGATGGATGAAAAATGTCTTTGGCTAACTATATATTTATATCATTAATTTAATAAAAATTGCTTTTTGATAAAATCATAAAAATTTTACATGAACTTTTATTTTATAAAATTTTAAAAAAACAAGAAAATTTATAAAACTAAATTTTTATATATTCTCAAATTATATGAAACTAAGCAACAATAGGAAATTAAAATTCTTATATATAAAAAATTAAAGCATGATGTTTTGAGTTTTCAAATTCTTACATTAATATCAGTTGTCTAAAAAGATTTTATGAAGTAAACAAATCTTCAAAATTAATATACTATTTTGATATACAAATTTACAGAAAAGTAATATATATAATGATATGTCATCAAAAAATTATATTAATCAAGCACGAATCTCAATGCACATAAGAATAAAAAGTTTCTAAAATTAAATGTGATCATACGAACTCCGATTGCAACAAACTTATAGTCATACTGAGCATCTCGAAGAGAAGAACCCAATGACATCAAAAAATAGAATCAATTCGAACCCAAATGAGACAAATTGAGGGACTTTATATTGATCGTCCATTGAAACACTCTCAACATGTCATTGATCTTCTTCATATTTACTAGTAATGTTATTTCCAAAAAACTATAAATATGCCCCTCATTCTTCATAAATGGGGGGGGGGGGGGGGGGGGCTTGAGATTTAAGAGAGCTCATAGGCTTGCCACATCAACCAGATCTCTTCCCGACTACCGATTATCGTTGGACTCCAAACACTAACCGTCGTCGTACTTTCGACTATCTTTATGTTGATGTAGGATCTTTTCCCAACAATCAAACATTTCTAAACATCTTCCCAGTAACTTATTAATAATAAATCTCCGCCATGGTCAGATATTGATGAAACATTCTTTGTTATTCATGGGACCAATTTTCTAAAGTTTGGAAATATTCTTTGGCATATTTTCTTCTCCTTGACCTTGAGTTAAAAGATAAATTGACGGCGACCGACTACAATCCTTTCTACCTCCGTCGCCTTTCAACTACAACCACTTCAGTTTGCGGAATATAGGTCACTAGATATGGCATAAATAGGGTCAAGTTGAGGCCTGCTAACACCGCTCCCAAAAGAGACTTCTTCCCTACGAAGGAAGAACTTTCCTTTGCACAAGCTAAACCGGACACCACCACCTGAGACATCTCAGGATACAGGACATGCTAGGCAAGAAAATGAACACAAACTCCAAAAGTGCATGCTTTATTATAGACGTCGTGACTTATTTATACATCGCAGTTTATTAACAAAGCAATTAAAAGAAAACAATCATTAACTACTAATGACGTCATTAGCTTAATACAACATGTGCTCCCATGTCATTCTCCTGGTGTAGGAGGGATGTCAAGATCATAATAGGGGCTAAAATCGGCGACATTAATGGTAGCCGAGATATTGTAGTCGCCGGGCAAATCGATTTGGTATGCATTATCATCGACGCGCTTGATTACATGGAAAGGACCATCTGATTTTGGTTGTAGCTTGCTGAAGGAGCGATGAGGCATACGCTCTTTTCATAAAAGTATCCAAACAATATCTCTCTCCTGGAAGCGTTGGACTCGACGAGATTTGTCTGTTGGAGCTTTATACTTTGAATTGTGTTTATGGATCAAGTCTTGCACTTGCTTATGTAGTTGTTGGATATCCTTGCTCCGTTGCTCTCCATCTAGTTTGTAAGCAGTTGATGGGACATGTGGAATCAAATCAATTGGCGAAAGTGGGTTAATACCATATACCACCTCAAATGGACTTTTTTGTTGACTGATTTGTAGATCTGTTGAAGACAAATTCGGCCTGTGGTAGGATTAGATCCCATTGTATAATATTCTTTCCCACAAAACGCTTGAGGAGATTTCCCAAGCTACGGTTCACGGTCTCAGTCTGGCCGCCAGTTTGAGGATGAGCGGTGGATGAGAACTGCAACCTTGTTCACAATTTTCCCCATAGGGTCCTTCAAAAATGACTGAGAAATTTTACATCCATGTTAGATGTTATTGTCTAAGAAATGCCATGGATTTTAATGATTTCTATGAAATATAGATCAGCCACATGAGTGGAATCTAAGGTCTTGCTACAAGGCACAAAATGTGCCATATTCGAGAAGTGATCAACTACGACCATTATGGAGTTTTTGTTTCACTGCGTACGTGGGAAGCCAAGTATGAAACCAATGCTAATATCTATCTACTGGGCTTCTGGTACCGGAAAGTATTGTTTGCCGATTGAGAACATGATCCGGCACATGTCAGTGATGGAGATTTCCACCCCCTTCTTAACCCAACTGATTTTGTAGGGATGAGATTTTTTAAAGTTTTTAGCTGCATAGCCTTCATAAAAGATCGCAACATTATGTTCTCGGTATACCCATTATCAATGAGGAGTTCGTAGACCTTACCATTTATTGTGCACCGACACTGGAAGATAGCATTCCTTTGTGAAGCAATGGGTTGTCGCGGTGCTATTAATAGCCTCTCTAACATGCATATGACAACATCCCCTTCATCAGCCACACATCCTCTATTTCCACATCACCCCCTTCTTCATATGTGTCATCCACATCTCCAGTCTCACCCTCAGCTAGCTGGAGTTGAGACCTCGACGGACATTCATTAGATTTATGTCCTGGTTGGAAACACCTAAAACACTTGAAATTATATGGTCTTGCATATGGATTCTCTTTAACTCCAAGGCCGGGTTTGGGTGGCAATTTATTCTCCATTGGCGAGCTACTTCTAGGGCCTTGTGGCGTTTGAGGCTGCTGGGATTTTTGCATCACCGGTGTTATCCTCTGGTCGTCGTGCTGCTCTTTAAAGTGACGCCTATTGGAGTGACTCCGAGATTGTCGTGAGGACTGCATTTCTGCCTTCAAAGCGAAATTGACAGCCTGTGAAAGCAACCATATAGCATTCAATTCTAATTTGTCTTGCAGATTATCCTTTAGTCCCCCAATGTATCAGGCTACCAATTAATTCTCGGATTCTTTCAAATTGTTTCTCGCACTTAGGCGATAGAATTCATCGGTATAATTAGTAACACTACGGTTCCCCTGAACACAATGTTGATACTGAATGTAAAGCATTTGATCATAGTCTGAGGGGAGGTAGTGACCCCGTAACAATTGCTTCATTCGAAACCAATTGCAGACGTTACCCTTTTCCTTACATCGTCGAGTCTGCAACACCTGCTGCCACCAAGCACTGGCTCTCCCTTTCAATTGGCATGCCACATATTTCACTTGCTTCTCGACGGGGATTTCCATATACTCGAAGAATATTTCCACTGCCCTCTCCCAATCGAGGTAGTCTTTGATATGCAATCGACCGTCGAAGAATGGAATGTCGAGTTTGACACGAAACTCGCCATTGCCTCTATTATTCCGCTCAGCCAGCGGACGATACTAAATGCGAGAGGCATTTTCACCTTCTTCTGAATCTGAATACTCAAATGGATGTAGCAGGTCTGCCTCTCCCTCCAATTCCACATAATCGGGAATGTGGACGGTTTGTCTCTGTCCCGGACCCAGGCCAGCGACAGTCCCACGGTCAGGAAGAACCGGGGCTGGTGGTCCTCGGCGAAGTGCTGGGTTTCCTTCTCCCCCATGATGAGTTGCTTGCATTTCTTGGTGGGTCTCCATTCGTAAGAGAGAAAAACTTGCGGATAGTTCTTCCAGCTGCCTTACCACACGGTTGTATTCGGCCCACAGAGCCTCGATACTCCGGTTGTTGCCAAGAGTTGTCCGAAGGGTTCCATCTACCATCGATCACGTAGCCAGGAAGGGAAGCTCTGATACCAACTTGGTGTAAAACATGTACCAGCAATACCCAAATTCCTGCAAGCAAAAATAATGAGCAGCACAGAGGAAAAAAGACAGGAACAAGAACAAAGCTGAGAGCTAAAAGTTGGATATATTTTCTACTATCTTCTCTAAACTTGCATCTATGTATAAGTAAATGTCTCTCTTCCTTTGTATCTATATTTTGTCTAGTGCACTATTTAGGTGATAATTAATGGCTTAGCTAAAAAGGAGTAAAAGCTAGCTAAAGCAGTGGAGATTAAAACAGAAATGAGTGGTGCAAAGCTAGACTAGGTAAGGTGGGTTAGCTCGTGTGATGCACCGCATCAACTTCTCTTCTATTTTCTTCTCCCCTTGTCATTTTCTATACAAATATAAATGTTGATGCATTTCCATTTGGTCTCGATCTAGGTCGATTTGAGTCAATTTGTGCTCAATTTAATTTTGCTCAAGTCCGACTTGACTTGTTATACAGCTTGTCGACTTTCATTGAGCCAAAACTTTATTTAAATTTCCAGTAATCTTTGATCTTTGAGCAAAACTTAAAGCTATACTCTTTATATATGTATGTTGGATTGTATGGATCTGACCTCAACTGAGCTGGAAGATGATTGGATTGTTATGTTTCCAATGCAAGTGAGGACTCGATATCCCTCTCCCGCTAACATGTACTTGATGAATAACTGCAATTTTCATAGATGAAACTGCCTCTTTGATCAAGAAAAATTATTGCGTACGGTGTCCGGATTTATTCGGAGGCGAATTCGTACGCGCCACATCACCCGGGGCCCGGTGCATCTCGGTGACGTGGTGCATCCGGATTTGCCTCCAGACGGTCTGGTCACTGCAGTAATAATCTCTCCTAATGGCGGAAAATTATTACGTGCGTCATCTGGATTCGTTCGGAGGCGATCCAGACGCGCCATTTCACCCGCGGCCTGATACATCTGTGTGACGTGGTGTGTCCGGATTCGCCTTCGGACGGTCCGGTCACCATACGTAACAATCTCTCATGATGACGGAAAATTATTATGTGCGGCGTCCGGATTCGTTCGGAGGCGAATTCGGACCTACCATGTCACCTGGATCCCGGTGCATCCTGGTGGCATGGTGCGTCTGGATTCGTTTCCGAACGGTCCGGTCACCTCACGTAATAATCTTTCATGATTACGAAAAAATTTTACCTGCGGCATACGGATTCGTTCAGAGGTGAATCCAGGCACGCCACGTTACCTGGGACCCGGTGCATCCGGGTGATGTGGTGCGTCTGGATTCACCTCCAGACGATCCGATCACCGCACATTATAATCTCTCCTTTGTTGACAATCAGCTTTTTATTATTGATCATACGGTTCACTTCTGGAATGAATACCATATAAATTGATGAAATTACACTTGATGGAGAGATGTTTAAGCAGCTCTTGTATGGAAAACAGCCAGGGTAGGTCATTCGATATCCGCGTCTAATAATTAGGAATGGTCAGTCAATAAGCAGCCACGGTAGTCTGAATGACATACTCCAAACATTCAACTCTGGTTGGCAAGGAAGTCGTCACATGCTGCCAAAAACCAGCTGGAGAAATAATTGCTCATTGTTCAGAGCGTGCAAAATTCCATTGGTCATAAGTTATTATAATTATTTAACTTCTTTTCATGCTAACAAATAATAATTTCATCTTTTATATCAAAAGATAATGTGATAATAAATTCAAATGATTATTATTAATAATTAATTTCATTTTATTTAGACTCATTCTTTAAAAAAAAAGGTGATTTATGCATTCACTTTATTAAAAATTATTATCAGCTCAGTTTATATATATATATATTCATGAAAAAAATAAAATGATAAAATATAAATTTAGAATATTATTGGGGTCATATGCAATATTATAGAGAAGATGAGTGACGCCAAATGAAGGTGTCACAGTTTTAGGAAAGAATGTGAGATGGATAGGACATAGGCTTCAAGAATCACAACTCAAAACAATACCAAGAACATGCTTAGTTGAAGGGTAACACCACCTGATCTATTCAGGATACATAATATAAAAACAGAGCAAACGAAACAATTCTTATTATCTTCAAAAATTTATGCTCCATTACAAATAATAGTTGTTTATATATACAACTATTGACTACTTACCATACTACAAACTCAATAAAAAAACTTAACCACCTCTTAAAACCATACTAATTACGAGAGGTCATAATTTGACTGTTGTTTCTTCCAGATGTCTCTTTTAGATGATCATGTTGCTCTTTTTGTCTTCCTTGCTTATCTTTTTTTCTTTTATTCGATTTTGTAATAGAACGAATCAAAGACTCGTTGAACATGCCTTGATGCAATGCAATGATACCATCCAACATCACTAATCTGTTCTAGAACAAAGCTATTATCTGGGTCCTGAAAGATGGGAGTTATTTATCTCACTAGAAATAGCTATGTAAATGTGATCATTAGCATTCAGTGTTGCAGAGGTGAAGAAGTTGTAGTCAAGATCAGTCTCCAAGCTCAAGTTTCCCTCTAAAACCATAACCACCGTTGACATAGATGGCCTTTTACTGCTATTAGTTTGCAAACACCACATTGCAAGCCTCATCATCTCAACAACTTTTTCTCCATACAACTGTATATCAATTTCATTTCTATCAACCATGTCTAAGAGCCGATCAATCTTCACTTTCTCCTGCAAAAGAGAAATCAAGCGTGCTCCATCTTCAGGCTGAGAGTGTTCAAAATTCTTCCTTCCACACACAATTTCCATGACCACAATTCCGAAGCTGAACACATCAACTTTTTCGGTGATTGTAGATGTCAACCATTCAGGAGCTAAATACCCAATCGTTCCTCTCATTCTTGTATTTAATTCACGTTGATCACGATCAATCAGCTTTGCAAGGCCGAAATCCGCAACCTTTGCGTTGAAATTTTTATCGATAAGGATGTTCTGAGGCTTGATGTCTAAATGAGCAATTCTTTGCCTACACTCTTCGTGGAGATATGAGAGGCCCTTTGCTATGTCAATGATGATCTTCACTTTTGTTTGCCAATCAAGAACTGTGTCAGGAGTTCTGCCAAAGATCCATTTTTCTAAAGACCCATTTTCCATGAACTCGAAAACAAGAAGTCTATGTGATTTTTCTGCACAAAATCCAATTAGCCTGACAACGTTGATGTGATGAAGGTTGCCAATTGTTTCCACTTCTGCCAAGAATTCTTTCCTCCCCTGTCCAATAATACCATCTTCCAGCCTCTTTACAGCAATCTTAGTATCGTCGGCAAGCTTCCCCTCGAACACAGACCCAAATCCTCCTTGTCCAATCTTATGGCCAAAGTTTTCGGTTGCAATTTTCAAATCCTTGAAAGAAAATCTATTGGGCAACCTTGGTAAGTTTAAAATATCATCTTGCTCTTCGCTCCTTTTTGTCTTTTTACAGGCTCTTAGGCAAATATAGATGGCACTCATGGAGGCAGAAATAACAGCGAAAAGGTTGTATCCTGTACGAGAAACCCCAAGGATCGTGGCGAGGGAGATGATTACGTTGATGAAGAAGTTGAAGAGGAGAATGAAGAGGAGGAAGAAGCGTAAGCGCTTTGCCACCATCTCCAAATCTGAAAGAAATTTGATGAATTTTCTGATGAGATACTAAGTTTATTTTTTCCTTGAATTTTCTGATATTTTAGCTTGATTCCAAGTTTTGAACTCCATCGGTTTCTTTCTGGAGAGGATGAGGATATTGTGGAGCATATTGGAGCATCCCTCGCCATCTTGAAGCCAGCACCGGGCTCAAGGTTGGCAAGTTTTTCTTCATACAGTAGTGTTTTTAAGTTTTTCTTCTTACACTTGTGATAAAAAAATTATAAATATAAATATCATTTAAAAATAATATATTTATAAGAATAATATTTAATATAATATATAAATTTATAATGTTAAAATTTTATATTATAATTCTTATAATATATATTATAGTAAATTTATAATACATATTTCCCAATTTGTAGCCCAACTAAGCCCAATTTTGAAGCCCAACTAGCCCAAATTTATATTCTAAACTATTCATGCAACTTTTTTAGTCCCACATCATAGGAGACGTTTGAGGATGTTGCATTGAACCATTTATAAAGTGTGAAGTACTCTTTTTGCTAAACAAATTATCTTAGATGTTTAAGATAACTTGTATATATTATGATGAAATTAATCATCATATTTAATCAAAATATTTTAAAACTATTAAATAATTTAAAAAGTTAAAAGAATTTAATAAACTAAGATATGTTGCTTAACATTTAATTAAAATAAAAATAAATTTTTAGATAAATCGGCTAGTTCTTTCCAACCTGGATCAGTTCATTGGTTGAACCATTGGTTCAATCCGATTTGATCAAGTTTGATGCAGAGCTGGTTCTGTAAGTTGGATTGGACCGTCCACCAGACTGGTTCACAGTTGAACCGGTCGGTCCGGTCCGGTTTTTAAAATAGTGCCAAGATCTTTAGTTGCAAGCCTAAGCTCTCAACTAATAGGCCAAGGTGAGTTGTGTGTCCATTTAATTTGTTCACATGCAATTCTTGTTCTGGTTTTTGTGTTGGATCTTTCGGTTTGATGGGCAAGGATGACCAAATTGCATATTTTCTCCTTTTAGACTGCAATAATTCTTTTGTATTTGGCCTTACTGCAACCAGGTCGATAGAATGTTTGCAATTCCTAAGCCCTATGGTTCAAATTCTCCTTTAAGGTCTCTTGTGTTTTTGTGGTAGCTACATTTTTTATAGGTGTTATGATTTTTTGTAACACCTTATTTTTTTGGGGGTTTTTTTGATACCAACAATTTTGTTACGTGCAATTTTTAAGCTCTTTCTACCTTCTCATTTGTAATTTACTTTCTTTAATGGAGCCCTCAATTTTTATTGCTTTCTAAAGCCGTTTTTTAGTAAACAAAAATAATTAAACTAAAAATTTTCATAAGAAAAAGTTGTTTTAGAAATCAGTAAAAAAAACTGCCCCAAACGTAGCCTTAGCCTATAATTTTATGTATTAAGAAGATCAAGTAGAGATGGATGAAAAATGTCTTTGACAATTTAATTATATATTTAATTTATATCATTAATTTTAAAAAATTACTTTTGATAGAATCATAAAAATTGTACATTAACTTTTATTTTATAAATTAAAAAAAAAACAAAAAATTTTATAAAACTAAATAAATTTTTATATGTTCTCAAATTATATGAAAAGAAGCAACAATAGGAAATTAAAATTCTTATATAAATGAAATTTAAGCATGATGTTTTGAGTTTTCAAATTCTTACATTACTATCAGCTGTCTAAAAAGATTTTATGTTGTAAATAAATCTTCAAAATTAATATACTATTTTCATATACAAATTCATAGAAAAGTAATATATATAATGATATGTCATAAAAAATTATCTTGATCGAACATGAATATCAATGCAAATATGAATAAAAAACTTCTAAAATTAAATCTGTAACCATATGGACTTTGATTTCAACAAATTTATAGTCAAACTGAACATCTCGAAGAGAAGAACCCAACGACATTAAACAATCGGTTCAGTTCAAACCCAAATGAGTCAAATTGAGGGACTTGATATCGACCGGCTATTGAAACAACATTTCATTGATCTTCTTCATATTTACTAGTCATGCCACTCCACAAAAATTATAAATATGCTCCTCATTCTTCACAAAGGGGGGAAAGAGAAAAAAAGAAATGGAGGATCTCTCTTGCTTTCTCAAGTTTGCACCATCAACCGGATCTCTTCTCGACCACCGACCGTCGTTGGACTCCGATCATTAACCGTCGGTGCCGGACTCTGATCATTGACTGTCGTCGGGCTTCCGATTATTTTTTGGTTGATATTGGATCTTTTCCCAACAATCAAACATTTCCAGACATCTTCTCAACAGCTTATTAATACTAAATCTCATGCCATGGTTAGACATTGATGGAACTTTCTTTGTTATTCATGGGACCAATTTTCTGAAGTTCGGAAATATCTTCAACATATTTTCTTCTCCTTGACCTTAAATTAAGAGATGAATTGACGTCGACCAACTGCAATCCTTTCGATCTCCGTCACCTGCCAACTACATCCACTTTGACCATCGGCCCACTACGGTCCTTTCTTAGGACTATCACCTCAGACAGTGACTCAAAATTCTAAAGTTATTTTTGAAAACCCTTGTGGGAAAAATTAGTTACCAAGCTTCAATTCAGCTCCACCACCCACACTCAAACCGCCGGACAGACAGAAATGGTTAATCAAAGCCTCATTAATCTAATGCGAGAACCGACAGTGGAATTTAGTTTGGGGTCAACTTGAGTTTGCATTCAACCGATCTTCGAATCAGTCCGCCAATCAAAATCCTTCTCAAATTGTGTATGGTAATAACCCATTGACTCCCTTAGATCTGCTTCCACAAGTCTCTGAGTCCTCTTATAGCCTAGATGGAGAGCGGCAGAGTAGAGAAATCATGCAGATCCATCAACCTGTCTGAGACAAGAAATTATTTTGTGCGAAATGGGCGCAGAACATAGTCGGAGACCAATCAGAATGCATCACGCCAATAATATAGAGCCGCGGTAACGAGCAGTACCGAGCCACAATACCGAGCAAGAGGCGACGTGGTGTATTCTGATTGATCTCCAGACGTTGTTTGGCATCCGCAGAAAATAACTAATAGTCCGAGACATGATACAAAAAAACAATGAAGTAAAAAAAGAAAGACAATAAACTTGCTGTACAGAGGTCGATCGGAACAGACCTTGAGAATGTGGGGATAGATAAACTTGTTGGGCTTGGGCCATCCGCGCTGAAGCATGAGAGCAAAGAGATGGAAGGCTGGTGTTAGGTCGGGGTGAGTATGGCAGTGTACATGTAAATGTTGGGAGCAAGAAGGTTGTCGAAGAGAAGCACGAGGGAGGAGGACGGATCGTGGGTGCGTGAGTGAAATGCTGACGCGGGTAGTGTGGAGGAATGAGGGTCGAAGTGTGGGGCTGGTCTTCCCTTTCAGAGGAGACATAGAGGAAGTCTTGGTTAGAGTAGTGGAGCATTTGTTGTTGCATTTAAAAGTTTAAAAGTAAATTAATTAAGATGAATGGACTACATGTAGTATTAGGATTGGTTTGGAATAGCTTTTGACCATTATTTATTTGCTGCTTTCAATCAATTCTTTAACTAAAAAGTTGCTGTAAAAAGTAGCAAGAAAGGTGTTTGAAGTGTTCGTCAAAAGTACAAGCAGGAACTAGAATATCACTTACTCATATAATTAAGGAAAATTTTCATTATTATTTTCATAAATCCTTTATTGAAGTACTTTAACTTAAATGTGTACGCTCATCTTGTCTTTCTTTCCTGATTTGATTCCTAATTTAATTTAATTATATAGATTAAAGCCCTCTTATATGCAAACGTCCTAAGTTCACCATAAGAATATTTTTCATTAAGAATAGCACACGAGTGAGGTCACTAAGATTTTCCTGAACTCTGTCAGCAAATATGTTTGGCAAACAAACATTCAATAAATTTTTACTTTTAGTAGCTATTATCAACATATTACTGGCACATAACACGACATAAATAGACATCTTTGGGCAAACAAAAGTGAATTAATGTTGGTCAATGAAGCTTTTGTAATAAAGAAAGAATTCGTTCATCTTGGTACAGAATAGTACAGTAAAACACTCTAAAATTGATGGTAATGTATATACAGAATCTTCACTTATTTTACTATAAGCAGTAAACATATGGGAATGACTAGCAGAATCAGTTTGTAGCAACACTAATAGAGCTTTAAACATTTGTTTAATATTATACACTGCATGATTAAAATTTATTAATGATTGTGGCTTTTTATTATGATATAATCATAAACATAAGAGCATCGTATATACTATTTTTCAGGATTACTAATAAATGATTAACTACTGATAACTATCACAATAAATAAAATTCATAAGTACCTTTACAGGTCATGTCTATGAGATATACCTTGATGCAATGCAATAATTAATATCATCTAACATCTCAAATTTGTTCGGGAACAAAGCTATATATTATCTGGGTCCTGAAAGATGGGAGGCATTTAACTCGCTAGAAATAGCCATGCAAACATCATCATCAGTATTCAGTGTAGCAGAGGTGAAGAAGTTGTAGTCAAGATTAGTCTCCATGCTCAAGTTTCCCTCTAAAACCTTAACCACCGTTGACATGGAAGGCCTTTTACAGCTGTTAGTCTGCAAACACCACATTGCAAGCGTCATCATCTCAACAGCATTTTCTCCATGCAACCGTATATCAATTTCATTTCTATCAACCATGTCTAAGAGCCGATCAATCTTCACTTTCTCCTGCAAAAGAGAAATCAAGCGTGCACCATCTTCAGGTTGAGAATGATCGAAATTCTTCCTTCCACACAATTTCCATGACCACAATTCCGAAGCTGAACACATCAACCTTTTTGGTGATTGTAGATGTCAACCATTCAGGAGCTAAATACCCAATCGTTCCTCTCATTCTTGTATTTAATTCATGTTGATCACGATCAATCAGCTTTGCAAGGCCGAAATCCGCAACCTTTGCGTTGAAATTTTTATCGATAAGGATGTTCTGAGGCTTGATGTCTAAATGAGCAATTCTTTGCCTGCACTCTTCGTGGAGATATGAGAGGCCCTTTGCTATGTCAATGATGATCTTCACTTTTGTTTGCCAATCAAGAACTGTGTCAGGAGTTCTGTCAAAGATCCATTTTTCTAAAGACCCATTTTCCATGAACTCGAAAACAAGAAGTCTATGTGATTTTTTTGCACAAAATCCAATTAGCCTCACAACGTTGATGTGATGAAGGTTGCAAATTGTTTCCACTTCTGCCAAGAATTCTTTCCTCCCCTGTCCAATAATACCATCTTCCAGCCTCTTGACAGCAACCTTAGTATCGTCGGCAAGCTTCCCCTCGAACACAGACCCAAATCCTCCTTGTCCAAGCTTATGGCCAAAGTTTTCGGTTGCAATTTTCAAATCCTTGAAAGAAAATCTATTGGGCAACCTTGGTAAGTTTAAAATATCACCTTGCTCTTCGCTCCTTTTTGTCTTTTTACAGGCTCTTAGGCAAATATAGATGGCACTCATGGAGGCAGAAATAACAGCGAAAAGGTTGTATCCTGTACGAGAAACCCCAAGGATCGTGGCGAGGGAGATGATTACGTTGATGAAGAAGTTGAAGAGGAGAATGAAGAGGAGGAAGAAGCGTAAGCGCTTTGCCACCATCTCCAAATCTGAAAGAAATTTGATGAATTTTCTGATGAGATACTAAGTTTATTTTTTCCTTGAATTTTCTGATATTTTAGCTTGATTCCAAGTTTTGAACTCCATCGGTTTCTTTCTGGAGAGGATGAGGATATTGTGGAGCATATTGGAGCATCCCTCGCCATCTTGAAGCCAGCACCGGGCTCAAGGTTGGCAAGTTTTTCTTCATACAGTAGTGTTTTTAAGTTTTTCTTCTTACACTTGTGTTTTTTAACTTTGCCTGTCGCCATCTTAAAGACCTTGGAAGGCAAGATCTGGGTGAGGTCTTTGTCCTGAGTAGGAGATTATCAAGTGTAAATAACAGGATGGATTGCGCGCTCTCTCTTTCTCTCTCTCTTCAGTTAAACTTATTCATATTTTCAGCATGTTCCACCCTTAAGCATCATTCCGTGCAAGAGGCCGGATGCAGTTCTACGTCTGGAGGTGAATCTTGCCCAACCACGTCAGTCGTACCAAGTCGCGGTACCGAGCAGTACCAAGCCATGGTACATAGTAAATGAGTGACGTGACACATTATGATTGGTCTCCGGACGGCATTCGGCGTCCGCACGGAATAATTAATCATTTATAATTGCATACTTTGGCGCCTGATTTGGTGTTGCTGCCAAACAATTTTCTTTAAGATAGATTAGTATCTATATTTTATTGTTGATATGTTATAAAAAAAAAATAGTATGCTTGAATTTAATTGAGATTAAATGTAACCTGAAGAAACGGCAAATCATTGAATCAGGAGATCTTTGTAAGTTATGTAAAATACTTATTTAGGCTTCATTTAGAACCGTTTTTTTATTACTTCTATTGTAATAAATAAATAAATTTTAAAAAAAAAATTGTGGGTAAAAAATAAATGTGTATTTTCATTTTATTTAGACACATTCTTTTAAAAAAAAGGTGATTTATGCATTCACTTTATTAAAAATTATTATCAGATCAGTTTTTTTTTATATATAAAACTTAATCATGAAAAAAATAACATGATAAAATATAAATTTAGAATATTATTGAGGGGATGAGTGACGCCGGAAAAAGGAGGTGTCGCGGATTTAGGAAAGAATGTGAGATGGATAGGAAACGAGCTGCAAGAATCACAACTTAGAAGTCAGAACAATACCAAAAACATGCTTCTTTGAAGGGTAACATGATGTAGATGAAACCTGCACAGAAAATGAACGGAGCAACAGAGAATACACACAGGAAAATTGGAGAAGACGAACTTCTTCTTGGATTAAACTTTCTTAACTGACTAACACCATTTTACTGTAGCACATATAATAAGCTAAGCAAGCAGTCTATACTAATTTAGCTAATAAACTGAGAACTAATACTCAATTACTGTAAAGCTAGAAATAGAAAGTAGCAGGTGATAGTGGGTAACTTCCCACTAACGGCACGAGAGCCTGTTCCCTTGAGAATATACTATGCCTTCGGTCCCGGTTAAGGATGCTCCGCATCATAACACCACTTGATCTATTCAAGATACATAATCTAGAGACAGAGCAAAAGAAATAATTCTTATTATCTTCAAAAATCTATGCTCCATTACAAATAATAGTTGTTTATATATATAGCTATTGACTACGTACAAGACTACAAATTCAATACAAAAACCTAACCACCTCTTAAAACCATACTAATTACTCGATGTCAGTGAGAGGTCATAATTAATGTAGCATAGTGTTGACAGTTGTTTCTTCCGGATGTCCCTTTTGGGTGGTCCTGTTGCTGTTTTTGTCTTACTTGTTTACATTTTTTTTTTCTTTTGTTGGTGTTTTGTAATAGAATGAATCAAAGACTTGTAGGTTTTTTTCAATTGAGGTATTTTTAGAGGGCTATTCACTCACTCCGTTCTTATATTATTATTTTTACTTATCTTAACACGTAAGCCTCTTCGTGTGGGTTTTATCACCAAAAAAAAAAAAAAAAATTCGGTGTCAACGAGAGGTCATAATGGCGGCCTACAATGAATTAATAAATATCAGTTTACTAAAAAGTTCATGGCAGAGTGAACTACTTGAAACAATACCTGCGAGATGGACAAGTGTAGCTTTGATCAAATGTTTTTGACGAATATGACATTTTATTATGACATATTCATAAACATATTAGCAACACATGCTATTTTCCAGGATTGCTACTAAAAGATTAACTATTGATAACTGTTACAATAAAATTGATAGTTATCTTTACAAGTCATGATTATAGGACATGCCTTTATGCAATGCAATAATATCATCCAACATCACTAATCTGTTCTAGAACAAAGCTATTATCTGGGTCCTGAAAGATGGGAGTTATTTATCTCACTAGAAATAGCTATGTAAATATGATCATTAGCATTCAGTGTGGCAGAGGTGAAGAAGTTGTAGTCAAGAACAGTCTCCATGCTCAAGTTTCCCTCTAAAACTTTAACCACCGTTGACATGGAAGGCCTTTTACAGCTGTTAGTCTGCAAACACCATATTGCAAGCCTCATCATCTCTACAACGTTTTCTCCATGCAACTGTATATCAATTTTGTTTCTATCAATCATGTCTAAGAGCCGATCAATCTTCACTTTCTCCTGCAAAAGAGAAATCAAACGTGCACCACCTTCAGGCTGAGAATGTTCCAAATTCTTCCTTCCACACACCATTTCCATGACCACAATTCCGAAGCTGAACACATCAGCCTTTTCGGTGATTGCAGATGTCAACCATTCAGGAGCTAAATACCCAATCGCTCCTCTCATTCTTGTATTTAATTCACGTTGATCACGATCAATCAGCTTTGCAAGGCCGAAATCTGCAACCTTTGCATTGAAATTTTTATCGAGAAGGATGTTCTGAGTTTTGATGTCTAAATGAGCAATTCTCTGCCTGCAGTCTTCGTGGAGATATGAGAGGCCCTTTGCTATGTCAATGATGATCTTTACTTTTGTTTGCCAATCAAGAACTGTATCAGGAGTTTTGCCAAAGAACCATTTGTCCAAAGACCCATTTTTCATGAACTCGAAAACAAGAAGTCTATGTGATTTTTCTGCACAAAATCCAATTAGCCTCACAACATTGATGTGATGAGGCTGCCAATTGTTTCCACTTCTGCCAAGAATTCTGTCCTTCCCTGTCCAATAATTCCATTTCCAGCTTCTTTACAGCAACCTTGGTATTTTCGGCAAGCTTCCCCTCGAACACAGACCCAAATCCTCCTTGTCCAAGCTTATGGCCAAAGTTTTCGGTTGCAATTTTCAAATCCTTAAAAGAAAATCTATTGGGCAACCTTGGTAGGTTTAAAATATCATCTTGCTCTTCACTCCTTTTTTTTTTCTTTTTACAGGCTCTGCAGCTCATAAAGATAGAATAGGAAGACGAAATAAATCCAGTAGCAAGAGCGAAAGGGTAGTATGATATATGAAAATGTGTAAGGATCATGCAGAGGGAGATGACTACGCTGAAGGAAATGATTACAACGAGGAAGAAGAGTAAGCGCTTTGCCACCATCTCCAAATCTGAAAGAAATTTGATGACTTTTCTGATGAGATACTGAGTTTATTTTTTTCTTGATCTACAAGTTTGTGATTCTGCTCTTTCTCCTCTTCCACTCTGAGATCTCAGGTTTTATAATCATTTTAGATTAAAATTGTGTTCTGATATTTTAGCGTGATGCTAAGTTTTGATCATATCTTGTTGTGGAGGCTTTTGAAGTCCATCGATTTCCACTGGAGAGGATGAGGATATTGTGGAGCATATTGGAGTATCCCTCGCCATCTTGAAGCCGGCACTGGTCCCCAGGTTGGCAAGTATTTCTTCTAACAATAGTGTTTTTTAGCTTTGCCGTCGCCATCTTAAAGATCTTGGAAGGCAAGATGTGGGTAAGGTCTTTGTCCTGAGTAAGAGATTGTCAAGTGTAAATGACAGGATGGATTGTTCTTCCTCTCTCTCTTCAGTTAAACTTATTCACATTTTCAGCGTGTTCCATCCTTAATAATGAGAAATTATTTCATGCGGAGGCTGAACGCAGTTCTACGTTCATAGGCGATAAGATGCAGCAACGTCAGTGTTACTAAGCCGCGGTACCGAGCAATGTCAAGGCATGGCACACATCGAAGAGGTAACGTGGCGCATTATGGTTGGTCTCCGAACGACGTTCATCATCCGCACAAAATAATTAATCCTTAATAATTGCATACTTTGGCGCAAGATTTGGTGTAGCTGCCAAACAATTTTCTTTAAGATTGATCAGTATCTATATTTTATTGTTGATACGTTATAAAACAAAATAGCATGCTTGAATTTAATTGAGAATAAATATAACCTGAAGAAGGGCAAATCATTGCATCAGAAGATCTTTGTAAGTTATGTAAAATATTCATTTTGGCTTCATTTAGAATAATTTTTTATTACTTTCATTGTAATAAATAAATAAATTTTAAAAAAAATTGGGGTAAAAAATAATGTGTATTTGAAAGATAGTTTTTTTCATCATTATTTAAATTTTCAACTTTTAAAAATTTATTTTTTCCGAAACTGTGATTGACAAGAGAGCTGTTAAAAGCAAAAACAAAAACAAAAAAAAAACTATAAGAATATTTAGGACAACTATATTAGTGGGTGATAGCTTATGAAATGAGATCCATATTTATTTAACATTTATCTCCCATTTTTCCATTGCTCTAAGAAAATTTTAACTATAAATTATAGTGTAAATAATGATGATAAAAAGGTTAGTCAATCGACTTTTTTTTTTTTTTTTTTTTTTGAGAATTGATGCAACATGATGATAATGTATTTCATAAACATTTATATGTATTTCCCAGAGTATTTGTTTCTATGTGATGACAATTTTATTGGAGTTCTTGAGACACATAATGAAAAATATTTCTTAAAAGAAACATCATTACATTAAACATTAAAAAAACATATTGATAGAAGGAAAACTGAAAAAAACTTTGAATAATCTCCTAAATAAAGTTCAAATATTGATTGTCTATATGATCAGCCATTTTGAATAACATATCATTGACAGTAATCTTAAGAATATTGTTGATTAATGGGAGAATACATGCACATGTATAAATTTTGACGTGATCGGCCCTCGTGAATATAGGGGTGTCAAAACTCAAAACGGGTCTGCAGGCCTCACTTCAAATGTAATTTTGAAGCCTGCTTGAGCCTCACTTCAACCTTGCTTGAATATCATTTGATCAAGTTAGAAGTTCCATGGAGGCTTACTCGGGCCTTCATTTAAATGTTATTCATAGTTGGTTTGAGCCATGTTCGAAAGGAAAGATTATTACATGTGGAGTCTGAATGGAAGAGCCGTCTAAATTCTGTGACGGCACGTAGTAAATAAATATCAAATACATAATTTTATTTTTTGTTTTGTACCATCACAGAATACGAATAAATCTACATCCGAACAACGTAATGATTTCTTGTTCGAAATAGGGTTAAAAGTAAAGTTCAAATATCATTTAAAAAGGAATTAAATAAGTAGTTTGTCAACATAAGATGAGATATTCTTGAACCAAAATAAATTTTACAGTCACATTCCTCTAAAAAAATTAAACAAAAAATATATTTAATTAATTATGAATATAAATAAATAAATAAATATATACGGGCCGCTCTTAATAAGGCTCACCAGGCTGCCAGCCCACGGACAACTACGATCGGCCGCTGGCAACCCTTACAGTTGCGAGGCCGCGATCGGGGGAAGACAGAAAAATGGCGGGAACTTGTTCGTCCTTTCTCCTTCATCTTAGACTGGCGTATCTCTTTTCCTCTCCTCTCAATTTATCCAGGTGAAGATCTTGGCGTTCCGCATCCAAGTCATGCTTGCTGTCGAAGCCCTAGAAATCCTAGGGCAGATCCAAGTCCTCGTCATCGATAAGCTCCAAGTGGTAAGAATTTCTTGGTCTCTTTTCCTCTTCCAATCTCCGTATCTGTTGGCGGAGATAGCCTGCTTCACCATGGATCGTCTGATTCATCTTTTCTTTCCATTGGGTCAAATCAACCTTCTCCGCTTTCAAGTACCTATGTCGAGTCATGTAGATTAAGCTGCCATAGAAAATTTATGTGCTTTTATGTTTAAAGTTACTAATTTCATTCTTTTGTGAGAGCAATATCAAATGGGTAATAACTAATAAGTATTAGCTGTATCTTTGACATTAAATTTCTTTATACTTGAGAATTGTAGGTATCGTATAAATGGCTCAGCCGAAAATTCTCAGTTTCATCAAATCAGGCCAAAAAGTAAGGTTTTTTTTTTTCTTATAGATATGCATGCCACTTAGTCATAAGCTAGATGAATTTCCTTGTGTGCACCTGGTGAAGTTGACATTTAATCTTATTCAGGTTGCTTCGAGAGTTTGTTGACAAACATGGCAATAATTTGGAAGTGTTATATTCGTTGTCTGGGTGGTTGAAAAACAGTTCTGGAACATACTGCATAAGACTTGCTTCTGGGAAGAAACTTGAAGGTACAATACCACCATTTAAGTGCAGGGAATGTGTTCTTTATCTTTACCAGTTCACTTTTTTATCTCTAAATTAATCTACCTATTTTCTTCTTCTATGTTTTTGTATTAGCTATCTGGAATTTTGATTTCTACCCTTTGATTAATGCGTTTCATCTTTTGTTGGCAATAGAGGCTATTTGCAGCTCTTTGAAAGGCTTTTCCTATTTGTCAAAGAACATTTTGTTAGGCGTGAGGATATGGCATATTGTCTGTTTGATGTAGGATTTGCTTGCTAGTTTTTTTATTTTATTAATTGCTTCAAAGAAAGAATTTACAAAGAGAAAACACTATGTGCTAAATTATTTTTCATACCTGTACATTGAAAGCGTTTGTAGCTCAGTTCTTACATAAGAGCAGCACCACCACCATCATAATTATCATCGCAGTCATTTTCATCGTTAGTATTATAACAACTATTTCATCAATAGTAAAATGAACTTTTTTTCTTGAAAAGTAGCTGCATATGCTCTTCATTAATTAGAACTCCACAAGCAAGAAAAGGTCTTTGCATGTCAGTTTTCAGATGGAGAGTTTTTGAGATAATGATTCACCTTTTCCTCTTCATTCTGTAAACTCTATTAGTTGGCATCGCTGGAAGATGCTACTTTTTCTCTGCAAGTTCAAACATTTTGTATTATGAAGCTCGTTGCTACGCTAATCAATTGCACATGGTTCAATAATTTTATGAATGTTTAATTCTAAAATGGACTTACCTTTGAATTTTGGCAGAAGTAATGAAGGAATTTGATGGTACTTGTTCAGTTGAGGTTTATAGTATTCAAAGTTGTTTGCCAAGAGATCTTGCTGTGCTTTGGAATGCTGAATTTGTTCAAGCAGAGGAGCTCTTTAATCAGCCATCAACTGTTGAAAATTGTTTGAGGAACAATAGGTGCAATAATTTGCATGCATATGCTAAACTTTTTTTTGTATTGCCTTTCTTCAGTCTGCTTAGTCAGTGGCAGATTATGCTTTTTTGTATGCTTTTTGAATGTTTGTATTTATTATAAACTAATTGATATTATCTGATTTAATTTACTATCCTATTTAGATTTGGTGGCATTTCCAACTGCTTTGTTAAACGTGCTGTTAATGGTCAATCAGCTGCTGTTTCTTCAACTTCTCAGCTTAAAGATAATGTTGGAATCGTGCAAACTAAAGCCAGTAACGTTACAAAGGATGAGAATTTGCAACCTCAGCAGGAAAATAGAGGGCAATTTGGTGTAAAGGAGGAGCTGAAGTCTTCTAGTACAGTGGGATCTATCGACAAAACTAATCAAAATGTTGGTGAATATACTAAAAAGACTCATCCTGTGAAGGAATCGTCTAATCCTCTTCAGGCTAAAAGAAAGGGCATTCCTAATGAAAAAACCTCTACTGGGCCTGGTGGTTCATTGGCCACACTGTGGGGCCGCGCATCAGTGAAATCAAAACCTTCAAGTATGGCGTCACGTTCTACCTGTGATATTGCAATTGCAGCCAGTAAGTTCAATTAATGCATCTGTCTATCTTGACTCTTAAAAACCCCTTGTATTTTTTTATCTTAATTCAATAACAATTGTGCTTTTCCAGTTTACTAATGATTTATGGTTCAAATATTGTTCAGATACTGCTGATGCTCAGATTTGTGCCGAAGAGGCAGCTGATGCTGAGAGTAGTGATGAAGAGGGCTATAAGTTATGCTACAAGAGAGAGTCAAATGGTTCTAGCACCAGGAAAAGACAGTTTATTATTAATTATTCCGATGAAGAGGATGATGATGATAATGTGGTGTCACTAGCATCTCCAATTCCTCCAAAAGAAAAGTCATTTTCAGATACTATGCAAAGTGCTGAAAATCTGAATGTGGAGAAAGAGATACTCTGCACAAATAAATTAGAGAGAGAAACATTGGTGAATAAACAAGACATTGATGACAAAAGTCATGGGTTATCATCTGAAAAGAGCAGCATTGCTAATGCATCTTTTCAAAAGGCTGAAAATAACTTCCAGAATGACCTTGCAAGTGCAAATGGAAAGGACACTGCTCCTATGGCATCCAAAAGGAAGAAAGTGGTAAAGACACGAATCGATGAGCGAGGAAGGGAAGGTATGCAAATTTTTATTACCTTTGGGATTAATTCAGTCATCAAATTTTGTTTACTTATGTCAGTTAAGATAGTTAGACTCTATTTAGCTTTACCAGCTAATCTTTGTATGAATATATATATATATATATATATATATATATGCTGCAGTGGTAAGAATTATGATATTCTAAGTTGTTTTGGATAAAAATGCTGAAAGAAGCATTATGGTTTAATGCTGAAGGTTTTTTGGTGAAAATGGGATTTACTTTTGGCTGTTTGTCGATTGTGAAGGTTTCCAATTTCTACTGTTGTTTTTCATTTTGTACGGAGTCAAACCTCACCCAGTTGAGTTGAGTGCCTTTTGTTTTTTTTGTTATTTTGGATGTTTTGAACAGGTTAACTAAAGTTCAAGTGTAGTAACATGGTCTTTTGTTTTAAGGATTATATACAGGATACGTGGGGAATTGTCCGTGACTTTCTGGTGAAATAGACTTTGTATATTTGTATTTAGAGAAGCTAAAAGATGTTTGGGAGTCTATAGCGCCAAGCTTTCCTCCATCCAACTTTTTTGAGATTGGGAAAGCTATGAGCTGCAGCTGCTGTTCTCATTTGTCCCCAACAACTAAAATTACCAGAATGCAATACTGAAACCTTGCTCCATTTCACCTCCAGCTTTTAGCTGTAGCTTCACCCAAAAGAACAGCTAATCAGCGTACTTGGGAATATGCTTCTGCAGTCAATGGCATTGTAAATTTCTGCTTAGATTTGTATATTTGTATTTAGAGGAATTAAGATGCTGGTGAGTATATCAGTGTTTTTTTAATCCAACTCATTTTTGAATTTGGAAATCTATGGGCTGCAGCTGCCGTTCATATTTTTTTCCCAACAAAGAAAATTCCAAGTGCAGTCCAGAAATCGACAGAATGCATTGCTGAAACCTTACACCAACTTCACCCGGAACTTTAGCTGTAGCTTCGCCAAAAATAAGAAATGATTGTGGTAATTTGTGAGTTAAAAAATAAGAGATAATTATGGTAATTTGTGAGTTGGTCGGTTGGTTAATAAGTTTGTAAAATTGTGTCTAGAAAGTAGAAGTTGATTGGAGGTTGAATGCACTGATGCACTGAGCTTTCCTCCATCCAACCTTTCTCGGGTTGGGATAGCTTTGGATCACAATTGCTGCTTTCATTTTAACCAATCACCCATAATTCAAAATGCAGTCTAGGAAGGGATTTTTCTCGCTGGAGTGCATTACCAAATTCTCTCTCCACCTTCTTCAACAAATTTTAGTGGCAAATATACAATTTGATGAATGAGGAAGTGATGAAGAGATAATAGACTTGGTGATGTGGGGTTAGGCTGATAGGAATTGAGAGCTGAGAAGGGGATTGTCTTAAACTCTGAGATGTTGCTTAGTAGAATCTGAGCTGAGTACACCGTTGCTAACAGAAAACTCATAAAAGGTTCCAACAAGGAAGTGCCTGATAGTTGAGGGACTCCAGGGATATATCCTGTTTGTCGAACAATGATAGTGATTGTGGAGCCAACAATCCATGATTTTATCATCAAATGCAATGCCTCCTCAAAACTCCGTAATTATAGTCATCCTGTAATAAATGACTATATGTATAAAGTAATATTGGCGTATGAATCAAACCGAGTCTTTTTGGTGCAATCCTTTTAGTTGAAATCTTGTAGTGATGTAGGACAAACAGGGGAATTGCAAAGTTCTATTAAGAAACTTGTTTAGTAATGAAATTATAGGATTAATGTTTCACTAAGTTAAGACTTTCGGTTTTTATAGTTATTGACTTGCTTCAAATATGTGGTTACACGTTAGATTGACAGGACGATCCCAAAATAATAACAATTAAAATAGTTAACACATGTGCTATTAACGATAATCCGTCACTTAACGAATATAGCTTTTCACCTTGGGGATTCCCTCTCGATCGCTCGTGGAAGTAGGGTTAACGGAGGAGGAATATCAACAATCCGAGTGATGCCACTGAAAGACAGAGGATGCCGGTGGATTTGATCAATGGGAAGTTGGCAGGAGTTGGATAGATGGGTGGTCGTCCGGTGATCTCCCACTATTCTGTAGGTCGTTCATCGATGATGTCCGCTAAATGGCATAGAATACAATCAACGTATTCCTCAATAGTGCTTTCAGTTCCGAATCTGAGGTCGAAGAAATGTGAGTGAATGATGTTGATTTGCCCTTGAGAATTGTAAGAAAATCCGTGATCGACCTCAGGATCCGCCATCCATGAGCTTGAAATTCTTCGTGTGGTGTTCTTTGGTGGAGCCGCAGGTTGAGAGGAGTGGAGAGGGGCGGCGGAGAGAGGGGGTTGGCGGGTGAGGAGGAGAGGAGAGGGGGCGGGTAGAGATAGGGCTTGAATGTGGGAGAGGGATTATTAGAAAATCTGAAATTAATTTAGATTTTTCGAAAAGGGAAAAGAGGGAACAATTTGAATTTCAAAGTTCTCCATAAAGGTAAGGGGCAGCGGTTTAGGAGGGGATTAGGGAGCTTTAATGGGTGATTTTGAATTAATTAGAAGAAAGACAAGCATGGGTGAGGGGGCCGGCCATGTAGAGAGGGGAGAGAGGGAGCTTTATGTTTAGTATGTGGGCCTCAAGGAAATAAGTAAGGGATTTAATCAAATCTGAATTTATTCTCAGATATAATTAAATTGGGAGGTTTCTTATCTTAGATTTAAGTATTAGGAAAGCATATGAAATTCAATTAATTAATTGAATTCTCATTATGAAACTTTCCTAATTAACAAAACCTTTTTAGGAAAGGGAGTGATGAGCTTTTGAAATTTGAATTTCAAATTTATGGGCAATGGGAGGGGACCGGCGGCTGGACTTGTGGGAGGGGCGGCTGGGGACTTGGAGGCCGGCGACTGGGGTGGTGGTGGGAGAAAGAAGAAATCGAAGAACTGCGAACCTCGAAATCCACCAAGGTTGATGGGTATTGCTCTCACCCTCACTTAGGGTTTCTCTTCTCACGAACTCACAAAGAGATCAAGCAAGAAAGTGGAATCTTCATTCATAATCATCATTAGAAACTAATACAATGACTAGGCCTTAATATATAGGCCTCCAAAAACACCAAAATGTAAAAGACACACATGCCCTCAGGCTACGATATAAAACAAATCCCTCATAGGGGTACAAGTGAAAATCTGAAAAATAAATAGAAGAGAAGCACTAAAACATCATAAGTAGAGACTATGAATCGTATCCGTCAATCTACGATTCCGCCGATTGTAAGTACGTCGAAATCTCCTATGGATGTCCTCATCATATAGTGGTTGCATTTAGTTGGGAAATTCGGGAATTATAGAATAAAGAGACTCATCTTCTTCTTCATTCTTGTGTTTCATGCTCCAAAACTAACAATTTAGACTACCGACTTCACTTTGTTGATGCTCACTTTACATGTTTGTTGGATCTTTTTTTGATGTCCTTCCAATGCAAATGAATTAGATTTTTTGGCATTAAAGTGCTAGGGGCATCGCATTTTATTTATTTATTTATTTGTTCACCTTGATCCTTAACACTCTTATTGCTGGGTCCTAAGCCCTAGATGCAAAAAGTGGAGGGTTATGTTAGGCAGTCGATAACCAGTATAAAATTTATCAAATAATCATGATATGATTCATTCAATAGGAAAATACTTGGTCAAACCATATTGTGTTTGAATACAAGTAGTAGCTCTAGTATATATGTCCTTAATAACTTGAATATAAGCATTGTGCTCTGGGGAGTTCTAGAAAAGAAAGGAGTTAATAATGCTTATATTCAAGGCATTAAGGATATGCATACAAGAGCTATTGCTTCTTTTAAAACAAGGTGAGTTGACCAATTATTTTGTTATTTCAGTTGGATTACATCAAGGTTTAGCTTTAATCCTATATCATTTTTGCTTTAATAATAGTTGTTCTAACAAGACATTTGTAAGAGAATGTACCTCAATGTATGCTTTTTGCTGATGATATTCTTCTTGATGATAAGACTAGAGAGGGTGTTGATGAAAAACTTGAATTATATAGGTCAAGCTTTGAGTCTAAAAGTTTTTGTTTGAGTAGATTTAAAATCGAATTCATGGAGTATTATTTTAGTAGTAATAGATCTAGTGGTGGGATTGAGACATTGAGTTATGAAGTATTACAACCCAACTCGATAAGACTCACAGACTGGATAGGTCCTATTGTGTTGACTTGTAACAAACAAATCTCAAAATCTAATTTTGAAAAAAAATTAGATTTTTTTCTTCTAATTTGAACTTTAAAATAAACAACAAAACACATAATTGCTAACAACATCCAGTATATAAGAAATAACTCATCCCCAAAATTCTTTTCATTTCATCATCATTAAAATGTCTGTACAGAATTTACACTACAATATATGGCTACATAATAGAGAGCAGAGTAAAATATAACAAAAGTTAGACATGATTGTACAAAAATTAAAGGAAGAAATGCCTACAGACTCAGATTAGATTCTTGAAAATGCTACTCAACATTCTATTTCCCAAAATAATGGTGAGTTAAAGTAGCTCAGCAGGCTACAAATATCGATTTAAATTTTTAAATATTTCTATTATTAAGCAATTTCCAAAATTATCAAATGTAATATAAAAATTCACTGTAATGATAGCATTGCAGTTTCCAAATATTCAAGTAATAATATTGAAAAATTAAATAAATTGAAATTCCATATGAATTTTATTTCACATAACAAAATGTAATAGTTTCCCACTCGTTCAGACATAATTAAAGATTCTGCCCTCTTATAGCTCCTAGCATATAGATTTTATCCTCTTTCAGGAAGAATATAAAATTTTGGCCCCTTATGACTCCCAACAAATAGAATTTCAAAGAGTTCTAGATTCCCAATATCAGGCAAAATTCAAAGGATTTTTGCCCCTTATGTCTTTCAGCAGACATTTTTCATATTGAAACTCACATATTTCAATTAATATAACATATAACTCATTGCAATGTAACAATTCAAGCATAAAGGAATTATGTGCAAAATTTCTCAATTTGCTATAACGGTAGGCAATAGAACACGCTATCGAGAGAAAATGTACTATTTCAAAATTTCACTATTACGAGGGATTGTGCAAAGCACTGTTTCAAGACTTCAATCAAACTGTAATACTATTTTTTGGGTTCAGGATTATTTTTTGTTCAATTAAAAATGTACACATTTCAAAATACTATTAGAAAAATTTTCAGAAAATATTCAAAGTGTTCAGAATCTCAATTTCTGTAAAATATAAAAAGTTACATAGTAAAGTTTTACCAATGTAAAATTATCCTCATTTTTTAGTAATGGAAATATAAATTTAATAAAAATTTTTGGAAAGCTTTGAATTTTTGAAAACTGAGATGCATAGTGTGATCTACCTTGATTTGGACAACTTTCAGAACTGGTCCGACAGCTAAAAAAATACCCGAAATGGCCAAATCCCCCTCTCTCTAGTCCGACTGGCTTGTGTGAAATGAATGAAATGAATGGTCTAAAAAAAGATAATTCAAATGCAGAAATTGGCCTAGCGCTAGGACGCCACTTTTCTAGCACAGGGTGTTAATTCATTTTTGAAAATCCAAACTCACAACGCTGGGGTGCCACTATTCAAGCGTCGGGGGCGATTCAGGGGAAAAAAATTATAGATTTTACAAACATACATTCCGACCCTTGGAACCCACTCTAGAACACATGTAGTCATTTTTCATGCTCACAGATCATTCTCAGAAACATATAAAAGAGTTCAAACTCAAAAATTCAATAGATTACTTGACTTCTAAATGGCTCATATTGGATTGAATAGCACACTGAACCTAATGGTGTTACATGAAGTCATTAAGTGTACATTTTAGATATCTCGGGTCTATGGTTCAAAATAATGGTTAAATTGATAGAGATATTATTAATAGAATTCAACTTGGATGATTGAAGTGGAGGAATGCATGGGACATATTGTGTGATAGAAAAGCACTCCTCAAACTTAAGGGAAAATTTTATGAGACAGTGGTGAAACCTGCAATGTTTTATGGCGCAGAATCTTGGCCATTAAAAGAGAAACATGAAATTAAGTTGAGTGTTGCAAAGATGAGAATGCTTAAGTGGATGTGCAGCTTTACACTTAGAAATAGAATGTGAAACAAGAATATATGCGAAAAGGTTGATGTAGCTCTAGTCGCAGATAAGATTGGATTTGCCAAGATTTTCCTGGGTTGTTAAGATTGATAGTTACTTGATGTCTTTCAGTGACGACCACAACTGCAGCTTTGCTTGATGCAATATTATTAAGGGCCAATGATGTTAGTTTATATCATAGGGATATATACCATCTTTGATATATTTTACAACGTTGCACTTTGACTAAAAGAACAGAACAATACAGCACACAAGCATTATGAAATATTTTGCATTCTTAAATTTGTATGTCTAATTTGCATTAAAAATGAATTAATTTTATCTCTTGCATGATTATATGATTATCTTTTACAGTGACGGAGGTTGTTTGGGATGAACCTGTCTGCAGTAAGGATGCTGACAAGGATAAAACAACAAATGATGCTAGGTATGTTATCAACTTATAAAACATCCAATTTCCTCCGCCATATATTTACAAGATTGTATATGCAAAGTTTCTACCTATGGGACTTGGGTTTTTCTGCAACTTCTAATTTTTAGGAGAGGCCGGTTGGATTTATTGGTACTACTTGCTGCTTGTTGCTTACTGCTTACCGCGCATAGCCTTCTAGTTTGGTTGTTGATATAGCAATTTGCATGTGGTTGGTTTGGATGAGCCATTAGCCACCTAAACTTGTATTTCATCAAAACATTTGGATATTTCCTGTTACAAAAAGCAGTTAATATGCCCATTGGAAGCTCTTCAAGCCTTTGATCAAATCAACTTTTCTAAAGTTACTTTTCCGTTTCCATGAAGATAAACTGTTTTTTATGTGAAATTTTTGTGTAATTTCAAGCTAGTGGATCTTCTTAAGTATTTGAGATGCCCAACATCATTTTTTTTTCATCTAAATGTTCTAGCATTTAATGCAATGCACTAAAGCCTAAAGGGGAATATTTGATGTTATCATCTTAGTTATGTTTTAATCCTTTTAAATAATTTTTTATATTTTAATTTTAAGTTCAAGTGTCATTTCATCGTATTTTTTAAGGATTTATGTACAAATTGTAACTCTAGCCTTTTATTATATGTAGGAACTAAGGATTTCATTTTAATGAAATAAATATTTAACTTCTTTTCTTATGTGATCGACCCTTGCTACCTCCTTTTATCTAATGATGAGTGTGGCTATGAAAAAAAATATTATAGTTATTTTTTTGTGATATTTTGTTTGCTAAAAAGAAAATTCCAACATATAGAAGAACTAGGGAGATAAAGATGAGATGCGGATTGAGAGATTAAACAAATGAATGTCTTAGAGAAACTACATATAGAGATCGAGAAAAAGAAAAGCACGAGATGGGAGAATCAATCTCTAAGTAGGGTGCCAAAAGAATCATTTTCTATTCCATCATTAGTCATTTGAATTATAAGACAATGGGTATTATGCACATAGAAGCAGGCTGATGGACGGGAATTAGAAAGTTTTCTAATGTGGTTGTTTAGGAAGGTTCTTGATCAAAGGTGAATTGTTTAGGAAAGTTTTAATTATAATTGTGAGGAAATTAGTTAGGGCAAGAGATTTGATTTGCAAATATTAAAGAAAATTATTTAGGGAAAGGAGGCTGATTTGAAAGGGAATTAGAGGAGCCTATTTAAGGCTAACAGATGTAATTTTTTCAATATAGATTATAGAGTGCGATAAATATCTAGTCCTGTTTTTTGAGTCATCCATAAAACAAAATGAAAAATATCAATTTTTATTTACTAAAGTATAATTTAAATTAAAAAATGTGAAATTTTGAATCAATTTTTGAGTCCATTTGATCCAAGATTATCAAATTGTACAAAAAAAATTGCTAAATTGTAAATTGCAACTATTATGTTTGTATACATACAAGCATATAAACCTAGAAATTCATTGAGAAATATATATATATATATATATATATATATGCTTGTGTGCAGCAGCTCCCGCTTCTCCGAACAATCAGCACAACACAAGAACGTGCATGCGCGCACACTCATGACTATACTGCTAACCATTTATGACATAATTCCTAGACATTAGAGTACCACCTTAAGAGTAGTGGTGGTTGAAATTTATTTTGGTTGTCATCATCATGATCCAGATTACATTTAACACTAACTTGGTACCTTCAAATTATGTGGAGTTTGCACTTAGATTCCATTGCTCTTCTAGCTATTTGATTGAACGAAATAGAAGCTTTTCCTGCTTCGATTGTCTCGCATCATGTTGTACTTTGGTTTTGTTTTATCTAGTTGTCTAGAATGCTTTATTTAAGTATTTAAATCTAGAAGTTGTTCATCATTATTAGTAATATTTGAATTGGCTCTACGATTTTCACCACACATGCTCTTTCTTTTTGGGCAAGAATTTGAGCCCAGATGCATTCCTATTCTAGTCATCAACCATCTTAAGAAACACTCAACTGTGTAATTTGGTTTGTCTCAGTTATAACCTTTTCTTCAGTAAGTAGATTTTTTGCTTCTTTTGTCAGGCCTACTGCGGCAATCAAAGAACAGGCAACAGCGAGCAATGCTCCACCTAATACTGGAATAAAAGGAGGTACCAAGAAACCACTAAAAGGTGGCGGTAAAGATACAAAGCAAGGAAAAATTTTATCCTTCTTCAAGAAGATCTAAATGAGATTTTATTCATCAAATGCAGTGCAGAAACAGTTTAGAGATGCTTTGTTGTATGTACAACCAGAAACTCTAAAGGCTGTGATGTTATAAAATCTTGTAGGTGCTACAAATCTATTTCTCAGCCAAATTCAGAGATCCCAATATCTACCATATATGAATGCCCGCGTGGTTGTTAAATTGCACCTGCTATGTAATCTCGAAGTCTCGGCATCCAGGCTTGGAAATTTTAAGGTCAGGCTGCATACTTCAGCTCTTTCCAAATAGGCCATTTTTTCTCTATAAATTTTGTGATTAATGCCATCTTATGCTATCTTATCTGAAGATTTGTTGATTTTGTTGTTAACGTTAATGTTGCAATTGAATGGCTTCTTTCTGTGTTCTTCAAAAAAAAACATTTATTTAAACTCAAAATTGAAGCAACCGTTTGATGCAATTTGGAGTATCAACCAGTGTTTGATAAAAATTATTTAAACTCAAAATTGAAGAGTTTTATTTTAACGGATAAATTTGAATTGAGTCTATAATGTTTGATTTTGAGTTGATTGAGTAAAATATATTTATTTAATATAAAGTTTCTAACTATTATTTAAGCAAAATGTTAAAAGATATTACATATATATATATATATATATATATATTATTATTTTTTTTTTTTAAAGATGATTATCATATTGGTTATACAATCAAGCATGCATAACTTATTGGGAATTTTCTTAATGGTCATTTGATTTGTGGGCCCATTGATCAGATGAGCTTTGAAATATATGTAAGCAAAAGGGGGCATATTAAGTCTACATTATGGCATATAATAATTGTATTATGTTATTGTGCACCACTTGTTAATAACATGATCAACTTAATTATAGTACTCAACAAAGCAAGGAGACCTATTCATACATATACATAGATTTCTTCTTATCTTGAATTAATTAATCTTGGCACTTTGTGTTATGAGGGGCATTTGTTAAAATCAAAGAGGGAATTTAGGTTAGGGTGTTTGTTTATCTTATCTTTATACTTGTGTAGAATTTTATTATTTAAAGAGTTTGAATTAGTGGAGTCAATGATTTTGACTTAGTGTGCCCCTATTAAGTTGTTCTTATTTTACATGATCAAGATTTGGTTAAGATTTGAATTAGCGCATGGATTTTATTATTTATACATAATATAAAATTTGTGTGCTAGTCGTCACTATAAATCTTTATATATTTGTGACATTTGAAGGGTGTTGGTTTGGTGTGAAACAAAATGGCAATATAAGAAAATTGTAGAGACATTCTTCTTTGGGATACAACATTTGATTTATTTTTTGTTGACAGTCTTATTAAGCTTATCATTCTTATCATTGATGTTGATTTTGAGGCTCTAACTTGAGTTTGTTTCTCATTTAAGTGATAAGATATATCATAAATATGATTGAGTTATATTATAAGTATGAATGAGTTGAATCAAGAAGCATAAGTCAAATATCGTAGTATGAACCTTAGTTGCATTCTCATCATAGTTTTGACTCGCATACATTAATTAGAATATGTTTTATGGCTAGAGAAAAGGATATGTTATTCAAGTCTTGCATTAAAAAACTTTTGGATGTTTTGATAATTGATATGATAATCTATATCAACATGTTAAGAGTTAGAAAATTTTGATGAAGAGTAGAAAGATTGATAGTATTTCATTCACACAATGAAGGGATAGAAGTCTCTAACAAAGAGTATAAATATTGATTCTACTTCACTAGCACGGCGAAGTGTTGGAAGACTATGACAACCCCTGACCATGTAGATATGGAGGCCTTCGAGGCTCCGGTCCATATAATGGAGTTTGAGAAGTTGCTTCCTAGTTGGGGCATTGGTTAGAAGACTATTGAATTTGAAGACTGTCAAAACCCTAAACTAGGGGTGGATTGAATTGAGGATGCAATCCCCATGTTGATGTTACCACTTATAAAGTTAGGGATGATTAGGTTGAAAAAAAAAAGGTTCCACGACTATGGCATAGAAGGAAGAAGATACATTAAGAATAGTGCTAGAGAAGAGCATAGAGTCTTTAGGGGTGTTGATGTTTTTTAAGGAAGGTGGTTGCGAAGAAGCGACAAGGGATGTTCAAAGCCCTCTTTATGAATGAGATAGTCAAGCAATCAAAAAAGCCTTAGAGGGAAGGGAGAGAGATTGGAAAATCATTATTCCTATAAATTAATTTATAAGGAGAAGAAGAGTGAAGAAATAGTGAATGATCATATAAAGATTTTAGAGTGGTTTGATTGAATGATTTACATCTATTATAGAGTATGTTAATGAGCTTTACAAGTACTCGAGGATTATAAGATCCTCAAGTGTAGAGGATTTGAACCAATATCTTCTATATATATTTTTTTATGAATTAAGCCCATGTTATAATAGCAAGTTGAATAATTTGGTTCAAACTTAACAATTAATTTAATTAATTTGACCCAAATAAATATAAAGGTACAATCATTAAAGTTTATATGTCTATACAATATATTTTCTTCAAAAAAAAAAAAAACACAAACCTTACTATGCTTCCCCTATTATAATACAGTTGTATCATCTCAAAGCTCTAAGGAGCCACAACTAATTATCAACCAAAAAATTGGAATGAATAAAAAAAAGAGTATCACAACACCGCCACAGGAACCGCTACAGGCGACATCTCCCCAGTCGTCGTCTCCACACCCCATCCTGCCCCTCTCCACCCCGACGCCGGCGCCGGCAGAGGCATTGGACCCCACTCTCTCCTTTGCAACAGTCTGGCAAGCGCCGCTGCCTTCCTCCTCGCTCTCTTTGTTCCCTCCACGGCAACTGTCTGCACCACCCTTGCCACCCCCGGCACCCTCGCCACTCTCTCCGCCACCTCCGCCCCCCCTCTTCGGCAAATCTCATGCAACGCCGCCGCCGCATTCTCCCTACCCCTCTCACTTCCCACTCTCATCACACCCGCCAACCCCGCCACCGCCCCCTCCTCCCAACCCAGCATCACCGCAACCACTCGCTGCCTCGCCAGCAATGCCAATGCCCCTGCCGCCTCCTCCGCCACCCCATCTTCTTCGACCACCGCCCCCACCAACGCATCCACTGCCCCCGACCCCACCATCCTTTCCCAACTCTCCGGATGCGTGGAAAGATTGAACAAAGCCACTACTGCATCTCTTTTACCCCTCAAGCGCCCTCTTTTCAATAACCAAACAAGCGCCTCCACGCCGCCGGGCTCCTCGACGACGCGTTTCTTGTATTCCTGGATGGAGGAGAGGCTGAATAGAGTTGCGGCGGCGTTTTCTTTTGATTCCGGTGTTAGGCCAAAGCGTAAGACTCGGATGATTGAGCGCAAGCAGCCGGGTTGGGTTATAATGCGCGTTTTGTTTGCGTCATTGATGGATAGGTTGAGAAGGGCGGTGACGGCGTTCTCTTGAGCGGTTGGGTTTTGTGAGCGGAGGAGGAGGTTGAGAAAGGAGATGGCTTGTTCCTCTGCACCAATCATTGCTCGGTTTTCCTTACCGATTTTGGCCAGCATCCGAAGCTCGCGCGCAGCGGTGGCTTTGGAAGCGTTGTCACCGGTGGATAGGTGATGGACTAGGATACAGATGGTAGCGCGGTTGGCTTCTAGCGCGGCCTTGCTGGCGGTAGAGGCGGAGGCGGAGATGCTGCCGGTCGCGGGAGAGTTGTTGGCGACGCCGTTGGCGGCGCACCAATGGGATATGAGACTGCGGATGGCGCAATTGGGGATTAAAACGGCGTTTCCAAGGTTTTGGCCAGAGTTGGGACAAGTCTGGTGGCCGCCGGCGATCCACTGTGTGATGAAGTGCCGGTCGTACGTTTGTCCTGTTGGGACCACCACCGGGTCACGCATGAGCTCGAGCGATATTGGGCAGCAGAAATCTTTCGGGAGAGCGGAGATATCTCTGACTGGAAGCGGAGGCGGCCGGCGGGTGGTTCTCTTGTTACTTTCCTTAACTTCCTGGGCGCCAAAGAGAGAAAATCGAGAGTATCGAACGACGGCGATGACGCCACCAATGGTTGCCAGGTCGGCCTCGGTGTCTACGGCCCCTTCGTGACTATTGATTTGATTTTGCAAGAACTCAATTTCTGACTCGAAATCCCTTGCTTCCATCATCCCAATCCGATCGGTGAAGGTTGATTTCAAGTCAGACACATCCGGAATCCTTCCTTTTCCGAATTCTTCCAAAAAGGACAAAACTTGAATCCAAAGCTCTTCGTCTTCATAATCAACGTAAATCCTAGAACTCCCAACTTGTCGCCGGAGCAACTCGACGTGCTCCCTCACATCGGCGGTGAGGCAGAAATCGCTGAGCGGAAGAACATCAAGCAGCGTTGAGATCTCGCGTTCGAGGTCCTGGAAATAGCCGGCAATTTCCCTGTTGCGGAGAAGCAGCCATAGTCGGCTGGATTGCAAGCAATACTCGAGAAGAATCCTCGCTCGGTGCACGACGATGTAGAGTTCCTTGAAGCACAGAACGGCCGAACTCGGCAGCGGCCGCCGCGTTTCTATGAGAAATTCGATGAGGACTACAAGGGTTCTAATCCGCCGGACAAGGCAACGTGCATTCCGCCGCTGGTATCTCGGCATCTCACCACTGTCAGCGGAAACGATATCGCCGGCCATGGCGGCGAGGAGTTTGAGGAAAGAGAGGTCGGAGAGCCCCGCCGGCGTAAAGAAAGCACTAGGCGGTGGTGGCTTTCGCATGACATTAGCAACTGCGACGGCCATTGCCGGAGTAAATTTTTTGAATTTGGAGATTGGTCTGCATCTTTTAAACAAAGCAAATATTGGGAAAGGCCAAAATTGTCTGAGTCTCGGCGTCGAGATAATACTTCCAAGAATGAGGTGGCTGTCGGCTGGACCAGTGCCACGTGGAGGATTTTTTCGGGCTGTGTGATTGGGTTCGTTTAGCGTGGCGACAATGGGCGCGACGAGAGAAAAATGGTCGTCCAGCACCTGAGTGGGCGGGCCGTGGGATTTTGGGCTCTACCGAACTAATAGTCTAATAATCGGATACGGGGGATTTAAATACATATTATTTTATATTCATAACATTTATCTCTGCTGAATATTATTTTAAAAAAAAATCATGTGAATAAATAAGTTTGAATATTATTTAATTTATTTAATTATTTATATTTATAATTATTTATATATTTTGATAAATAGCTTGCCTAGAACTAAATAAATGATGAAGGATTATTTTTATATTAAATTATTTGTATTATGTATATGATAAAGCACTAATCTCAATGCTTATTTAAATTGTTAAATTGGATTTAGGACCATCATTACTATGATTTTAACGAACTTATAGTCAAACTGAACGTCTCGACAAGATGAATCCAATGATATCAAGTGGTCAAATTCATGTTTAAGTGAGTCAAAATCAAGCATAATTACAAATTTAAACATTAATTGTGGGGCCAAATAATCTCTAAATTCGTTACGCTTATTTTTGAATAGTGTCTTGATGAGAAGGATCTAATGAGCTCAAATTGCTTAATTCTGACATCATTAAGACACTTAAATATTTAATGAATACTTTATAATCAATGGAATCAATTTAAGTATTCATGAAAATTTTATCTATATTTATAGGTTACGACTCTAAAAAATTTATAAATAAGCTCACACTTTTTACATGTAAAGGGTGTAGCTTCAACTTGGAGCCTAAACATTGGCTTGAGATTTCAGAGAACTTTGAGGCTCTACAAATTTCAAAGCATCATCCAAGCACCATCGTTGGATCATTATTTGACTATAATCATTGAACCATCGTCTGACTATAATTATTGGATTAATGGCTGACTGTCACTATCCAGCCAACATCTGATTGTCATTATCAGACAACCATTGAATTTTTAGGAGGATTATTAATTTAGTTTATCAAAAGCAGTGATTGCTCCCGGCCTAAAATCAAATTAAAGTTTCGTTTGGGACAACTTTCATATTGCTTTTTAAAGCAGATATTTAGTATATAAATTAAATTTTTTTAACTAAAAAGTCACTTTAAGCAAGTAAGAAAATCATCTCAAATGAGGCCTGAATCTTCGTGGCGCCTGGTCCTCCTATTCGGGCCATTCCAGCCCATTTTAACCCGCCCAGCAGCACGGTTTTGGGCCTTTTGGCCGGCCGCTTTGTCATTTTCCATATGGAAGACCACAATATTTTTGCATGCACTCTCACCATTTTTGTATTTTTTATCTGACGTAAAATAATTACATAAAATAAAATTTTCCATCCATTGACACGTTCGCAGTTTGTGAATGTTTCTTATAGAGCTAATCCTCTCCGAATGGCATTGTTAAAAGCATTAATCAAATCTTATTTTTTTATTAAATTAATACCCATTTTTCTCATTTACAATAGTATATTATCTAAAACTACAATAATATTTATCATTTGGACTATTTTGAAATTTTCTCATTATGGGTTAAATTTTATAATAGTCCCCCGACTATTCATATATGATTATTTTAGTCTTAGAATACAGTTTTATACTAATTTTGATTTCATTTTAGATAACTTTCTTACTGCTTTTGAAAGTTACTTTCTACTACAAAAATTTCTAGTTCAAAATTTGTACAAAAATATTCTTTAAAAAGTAATAAGAAAGTTTTCACAAACAAAGGTTTATGCTTCGTTTGGGACGGCTTTCTTAATGCTTCTTAAAGCGACTTTTTTGTACAAAAATTTTAATTTTCGTTTTAAAAAGCAGTTTTAAGAAACAGTTAAAAAGCCGTCCCAAACGGAGCTTTAGTTTCTCCACTATACAAAATTGATCCAAAATAATTCATTTGGGATAAAATTGAGATCAATTTTAAAAGCCGATGGATTAAGGCTTCTTTTGGGACAATTTTTTTGTTGCTTTTTAAAACAATTTTTTAATGCAAATTAAAAAATAGTCTTAGAAAGCATTAAGATAGTTGTCCCAAATGAAGCCAACTCAATTTTATTTTTGTTCAATTTTTATGAAGTCGAGGGATAAAATTGAGGCAAATTGATAATTTTAAGATTATTTTGAATTTTTTCTCATTAAAATTTAGATGTAGTTAATAAAATATTTATTTATGATAATCGGAAGAATTAAGAGGTAATTAGAATAAATTATTTTGTGGCTCTCACCAATAAGAGAACCGTTCTGTCATTCATAAAGAGGTGCGTAGCAAGCAAGTTGGGAAAAGCATAAGCTAACGCAATTGTAAGGGCGTGAAGCTTTATTTAATTGAGAAAATGGATTATTTTTAAGTTCTTTTGGATTCATATTTTGTTAGTAATATTATACTTAGTTGATAGATTCAATTCAATTTAAATTAATGGTTCTAAAAAATAATATTATGTCAAATGGTCTTAAATTTATATTGAAATTAGTGCTATTTTATATTATACTATAAAGTCTTTAAATTTATATTCAGATTAGTGCTACATATTTTTTAAGCAATTCTTTTCTTTATTAAATTTGGATTAAAATAAATAAATTTAATATAAATCATAAATTTTTAGTACGCCTCTAAAATTAAAAAGAAAATGAACCAAAGTAAAAAATAATAATTTTTTTGATTCAATTGTTCCTTTTCATTAATTTCTTAAAATTCTAATTTTACTATTTGTTTTGTTGAATAAGGCATATTCATTTTGTTCTAATTGAAGGCAAACTAATTTTGAATCTACTTCTTTCATTAAGTGATTTGCGAGTGCTTATATGCTCAAGTTCTTTTACTATTTGGGACAATTTTTTATCATTATTTTTTTAATACTTTTAAAATATTTTTTGAACTAAAAAATTATTGTAAAAAATAATAAGAAAGTTATCCATGTTTCATTTGGGACGGCTCTCTTATTGTTTATTAAAACAATTTTTTTGTATAAAAATTTTATTTACTGTACTAAAAAAACTATTTTAAGCAGCAGCAAGAAAACCGTTCCAAATGAAGCCTTAGTTTCTTTCATTTAAAAATATTAGCAAAGATTTTGATTGACAATGCTGTTCATTTGGTGAGCTTTTTATATTTTATCCTTTCTGTTAGAATTTTTTTAAAATGTCAAATATTTATTCTATATTTTCAAAAAAACAGTTTTCTTAAATAAATTCTGAAAAAAAAAACTATTTGATACTTCTTCATTCAAATATATGATATTACCAACTAAATTGTCAAATAAGCCCACAAAGATCGAGTCAAGTTGAATAAATCTATAGTCGGCCCTAAACAACCCATGATTGTCGTATTCCTTGACTGGAATGAAATTTGAGTCCGTCATTATCTTCGAGTATTTGTTTGGCAACTTTTAACCCTCCTGAGACTACGAAAATTGGATTAATTATTATGTGCAGACGTATAATGTCGTTTGGAGACCAATCATAATTTGTCACATCACTCCTTCACTCCGCGGCTCGGTACTGCTCGGTATCGCTGATGTGACACATTCTGGTTGATTTCCGGATGATGTTCTACTCCCGGTCTCCACAGAGAATAATTTCTCCGAAAACCAACTGATAATATCTAGATATAGAGTTTGAACTGTTACACATATTGGGTTAGCCGGGGTTCGAGCAAGATGACCCAATTAAGGATAGGGCTCATTCGATCAAATGGGTGCGATCAACCCTACAAATTTAAGATAAACATGGACTTATTTGGAATGCTGATCAAACTTTCTTCGACCTATTCAGATTGGGCTTCTGCTAAAAAGAAAATGAAAAAAAAAAAAACAAAAAATAAAACTTCATAATAACAACAAAATGAAAGACAGTATTAGGGAAAAGCAACAAAAAGGTCTACGGTGCACCAATAGGCTGGCTATCATAGTCGCACAGCAACACCAAATTAATGGACCTGGTTCTCATCGTCATAGCTGATTTGGTCAAGAAATTAAGCCTCTTACCCTTGCATAAATAATAATAATAATAATAATAATAATAAAACGAAATTTAACAATCAGTCAATGGCCAAATGCATATAAGGCCTTAGAATGGCCATATATAATCTATGTTTCTTACAATAATGGAAAATAATTTAATATTATATGACAATATGTTAGTGGGATGGAGTCCCAATTTGCCAAATGCATGAGGCCTTAATTAATGATGTAATTATCAGTATTGACGAGCATTACACGACCATAATAACAAATCTCAGAAGTCGGGCAACAATGGGTGATTAGCTAGCTAAGTAGAAAATGTTGTAACATTCATATGTGAACCGGCCAACTCGAGCCACATAACCAAAGTTTTTTATTGTTGTGAGCTGAGTGACGCATTTTTATTTATGGGAACAGGGTATCCACCTGCTGCCACCTCCAGAAAGACGCTTGGTTGCGTGATTAATCTTCGGCTGGCCTAGAAGAGGCACACACCCAAAAAGCTCCTGACCCGCACTTGATTAGGCCCCACTTAAGAGGCGATGCTGCTCGAGGTGAATCGAGCATGGATTTAGGGGTTCACAACCGTACTCGCCCACCAACCATTCAACCAAACTATAAGCAACGACGGTGGGTGAGTGCCATTTTCATAAGTCCTACATGGGTGTTTTTTAGTTGAAAATATGCTCAAGATTTTATAAATATGACATATGTTAGTGGAATGGAGTCTCAAAATGACGGAGTAACTGTTATGCTACTACTTTTTTTTTTTTTGTAGTTTTTTAACTATTTTTTTTTTTTAAATTTAAGTAGTAGACATTTATTTTTTATAATCAAAATAGACAAGTTAATTTTTGTAGAATAATTTCATTACCAACTTTATAAAGGTCGAAATCTTCACATAATTATATTTTTATTAAATACGTATTTTATGAAAGTACAACTCCTCAAACTTCTCTGTAATATCGACCATTTTATAAATTAATAAAATATTGTGTATGGGTTGGTATATATATTTTTTTATTTCGAGAAAATAAAAAGCCAATAAATATAATTTTGCATCCCCCCCCCCCTCTTCTAGAAGAAATCGACGTATATTTATTTATTATCAATTTGATAGTACTATTG